AATAAGGCTTAAAATACATAAATGTTTTTCGGAGTGGCACTCCAAAAAAAAATTGTTTTTGAAGGCTTAAAATAAACTTTTTTGGGCGAAGCACCCGGGGAAATTTTTCGCCTCCAGCGGGCTTTTCGTCTTCAATATTTTCCCCCAATAAGCAAATAGTACAAAAGCATACAAACATTAATTTGTTAACCCCCCCTCCTCCAAAAGAATTATGCGTCCCCTCATATGTTTGCAACTACCGCCCCGCAAGGCTGGCTACGCCACTGCCAGGGCCGGTCCATTAGTGAAATGTCATTGGAACTGCCAATATTTTGACTGATAAGCACCAGTATTTCGTATACTCTCCACACAAAAACTCGCAAAAAAGTTCTTCTTTCAACGCTCATATCTCAAAGGCCGTAATACCTACAAGATTTCGTCCCATTTAAAGGTTGTTAAGAATTAAATCCTCTACAACATATCAAAATTTGAAAAAAATCGATCGATCGCTGAAATCCCATGTAAAGTGTGCGGGGTCCTTTGTCTGAAATTTTCATGCGAACAGGATTTATCCTCCCAACTCATGGGCGTCGTTACACAATTCTGTAGGGAGGGGCAAAGTTTTGAAAAAAATATAGACTGTCTATAAAAATAAAAATAAAGGAGCGATAGAAAATAATTGAAATACAGCATGAAAAAAAAGTCGTAACCAGGAGCTAGGGGAGGGCAACTGCCTCCCCCCTGGCCACCATCTTAACCGACGCCCATGTCATAAACCCTCTGCCCTTGACTATAACCTCCTCCCACAGTAAGCACACGACGTGGCTTAGTGGTGATTGGTCGACACGAGCCTGCGTGTTGCATCGCTTTTGCGAATTCAAGTTTTGGGTATCCCGTCCCGCCATTTGCGAATTTTCGCGATATCCGTCAATATGGCATTTTTCGTATTTAGTTAACTGAAATTCGGGATTGCGAAAATTTGTTATAATTTTCGTTTTTTTTTTTTCAATAGTTTTGCGTTTTGCAGTGTTGTTTTGACAGTTTATGACTAATGATTGTTATTTTTACTTATCATGTGAATTTTTGAAAACTCATAATCAGACTTTTGCTGTTTCTATTTTGGTAAGTGTGAACTATACATTTAATAAGTATATCTACTTCGAATAAAATTGAATATTCCTTAGGTGTATGACTTGAGTGTATTTCTCGATGCATTTCTTCTAATTATGCGCACCATATAAAGAATGTCACGGAATTTCAAAAAACAAATTGCAAAAACTGGAATTTTTAAATACCATTATACTATCACAAATTCCGCGAGTCCGCTAATGGCCGTTTCCACCAACTATTTTTGAGAAGCCTAAACGATAATTATTCCTCAAACTGACATTTCTCCATGGAAAACTGTGATTTTAAGGAATACATTTCATTAAAAGGCTTTACTGAAATAGTTGGTGGAAACGGCCATGAAATCCTCTTCACTAACAAAAACAAGTTTTATTGAAATGATTGACTTACAGCAGGTATGGTTTTTACTTAACATTATACCTGCAACAATTATCTTGTTTAAACTTGAGGCAACTTACTTAATTAAAATTATATACGAAACGAGTCAAGCGAGAGTTTATAGTTCCGTAAATTCTTGTTTATTCCATTAAATATTCGATCCCCCACAATGGGGAACAAATTCCTGAATATTCCCGCGCCGGTCGTACACGATAACGACGACTTTTCCGTCCGTCTAATTCTGACACACTGCAGTGGCGCACCCAAGGGGGGGGGTTTTGGGGGTTTAAACCCCCCCCCCCCCCCGAAATTTAGCACTGGTACAAAAAAAAAATCAGTAAAAGATATTTTTTTTGCGATTTTGGTTAATAAATACCTATAAACTTTCCATTAGAGATTTTATATACATTTACCGTTAATACAACATGATAGAACCTAATAACATACCAGGGTAGACAGGTATCCTCCACTGATCTCAAAAATAAATGGATAAACAAAGAACGCTTCTAATGCTGCTAGTTTACGAGGTCATAATGTAAACAAAAACAACTGACTGGGACAGCTGTGAGCGTGCGCACTAGATACATGTACTGTGCGTGCACAGAATCTGGCCAATGAAAACGAAGGAATTTCAAAATTTAGAACAGTTATTCGAAAGATAAGACACTGCGCAGGCGTAGGCTGTTCCGTTGCACAACTGTTCATAGAAAATTGACCCCAAATTTTCGCACAAGTTTAGCCAATCGAGCCGTACGATTGTTTATCCATTTATTTTTTAGATCAGTGGTATCCTCACGCTCCGGTGATAGGTAGATGTAAATGTATATAAAATGTGTACCTACAACTGTAAAAAGTGCATTTCTTGGACATTAAACTATCTGTATCTCAAAAACTAGTCACAAGATTGGTTCGGGCCCATGAGAACTTTTTATCAGGAAGTCTAGGTCTAACACATATCAAAATTTTATTGAATTTGACAGAAAACCAAATACCCATAAGATGTGTGCGGGGTTCTTTGCGCAGTGGCGTGCCTGACGGGCCCGCAGGGCCCGCGGTGCGGGAGGGCCCCGGGATATTTGGGGCCCCCAAATTAAACAAGGTATTCTTCTCACACAATATATTTTTCCACCTATGTCAGTTCGAGTGTCAGTTGAAGAAAATCTTCAAAAAAATCGAGGATTTCTCAATTTTTGCGACCATTTTCCAAATTGAAATTAATAAAAAATGTCCTTAGGTCGACCATGTCTCAAACTCGTCTAAGTTCTTTAGCTCTCATCTCAATAGAGCACGAAAGAGCTAAAGATGTAAATATTGATGAACTAGCTGATCATTATTTATCCAGTCGTTCTACTAGTCGACACTAAAAATGCTAGTCTCTACCACCAAAGTAATTAGAGAAAATGAGTTTCTCTTCGAACAATTATTCATTCATTCTCACTCGATATTAAACTGATTAATGACACGAATCAGTGGCGTAGCCAGGATTTTGTCTTAGGGGGGGGGGGAGGCAAATTTACAGGAAATGCTTCTTGTTGGTCCAGCGCAAGAGTTGCAGGAAACAGAGCGAAATTTTCGGAGGCCAGGCCCTTTTTTGAGGTCTTTTTACGGTTTTTTTGAGACTGTTTATTTAAATTTTGGAAAATTAGTTATAAAATTTAATGGTCTTGGGGGGGGGGGGGCAAATGCCCCTCTGCCCCCCTGGCTACACCAGAGACACGAATTCTACACGCCCCGTGGATTCTAAACCGGAATCCATGGCCTATCGACCAATCAAATTATCCGTATCTTCGGAATACACGGGCCGCAATAAGACAAAACATGACTGACGTCTACTGTCAGATCACGAAACTTTCGTTTTTTAAAAAAATAATAATTTTGATGACTGGTATTTCTTACAAAAAGTAATGATTTTCTTTCAAAAAGTTCGAAGAGAAAGTATAGTCTTCTACTCGCAAATAATGGCTATTATTCACTTGAATGAATCTAACACTCGCCTTCGGCTCGAGTTTGAATTTTCATTCTCGTGAATAATAGCTATCATTATATGCTCGTTGAAGAATACTATACAATAATTACACTTTTCTCTATTATTTCTTAGTTTTAGTTTTGCTAGAACCAAGAGTTTTGTTATTATTTTTTTTATTTTCACAATTTTTTTCATAGATTTCATATCTGTTTTTTTTTACCAGAGTAGTACATATTTTTTATTTCATGTTATGATCTTTTATAATTTTTTTTATGATATTTTTTGTTCACTTTTATTTTTACCGAAACTGTTCGGGGGCCCCCAAGGAAAATCTCGCGGGAGGGCCCTCAAGAAACTCGGCACGCCCCTGTCTTTGCGAATGATCAGCAATGTTTGTGACATATTTATTTGATTGGTGGAGACGGAATTTAGAATGTTTGCAACCATGTGGGGACTCTCTTTCTTTTAAATACACATGATTATGAAAACAGTGGCGGTGACAATAGCTTTTTTTCGCGCAGCTATTTTGTTGCGAGCGTTCGTTTTAATTGTTTTTTTATGGAAATCAGTAAAATCACTTACAAAAAGTTATTTTTTGAAGGCTTGAAATAAACGTTTTTGGGCATGACACCCGGAAAAAAATTCTGCCTATGGCGGCCGTCCTACGGCAGCGCCTGTGTGCGACGAGCTCGCATCATTATGAAACCCCCCCCCCAAATAAAAAACCTGGGTGCGCCACTGACACACTGCCTGCCACTCAAATCAAATAAAAAAAAATTAAATCATGAAATGATAAGAGAATAAAGAGAATTACGAATTGTAGGTTTGATAAATGTTTATCATCCACCAGACGATCTAAAAATCCGAGAGCTAGCTCAGTTTACAAGCTATTAAAATATTTATTCCAAGTGTGGACAGAAGCCCGAGAAAAATATTAAACGAATAAAACTATAACTGTTTTCCTAAAAATATCTTTTTTCTGATAATAGAGGCTGTGAAAAAGTTTGCTTTGCTGAAAATTTGACGTAAATATACAATCTCAAGACAAGGACAGATAAAATCGATATGTCTTTCCTGAAAAATGATTTTTTCCTAAAAATAATATGATGAGTAACTGAAAAATTTCTGGCTTTTTGACTATTATAGAAAACAATTAATTATACATAGGTATCTGGGAAAAATAAAATTATCTTTAATACTCAGTTAAAACCATCACAAAAAAATAAAGATAAAAAGTTTCACTTACGTAAGTATAATTAAAGGGAACAAAGACGTCACGTCATCTTGTTTTCTGTCAAAATGTGAGGGTTTTCGGAAATTTTTCCAAAAAAAAGAAAATGGTATACCTATTCAGAACAAACATGATATAATGATATATCTACTTAATTCAATAATAAACCGCCGAAAAATATAATCAGAATAAAGTTGATAAGTGAGACTAGTCCTTCGAATAATAATAATTTTTTTTGCAGTCTCTAGAGTCTCCAATTTTTATAATTTTCATTGTTTTAGAAAAAACTTTATTATTTTTCAGTTGGCTGATAGCTTTTTCAACTTCTTGATGGGAAGAAACATCACTCAGATAGTTTTGGGTGGGTTTTTGGGAAAGTTTATTGAAAATGTTAGATTGCAACATAAATGCTATCAATTTCTATTTAATACATTCAAAAACCAATAAACATAATAAAATCCTCAGGCTGGAAACTAAAATGACATTGAAAAAATCCTTAACAAAAACCAGTTTAGATTCGTATGTGAAAAGTAGACAGAAAATCCGGCGCTCTAGTGATACAATGCTCAAATTCAATGTAGGACAGTTTTCCATCTCCATCGACGTCCGATTCTTCTATAACTTTTTCAATTATTTGATGTCTTTCTTCAATGGTTAGTTCTTGTTTAGTTAATAGAGTTATCGCGATATCGATATCTTCTGGGCCCACGAAGTCGTCATTGTCAAAATCTAAAAAATAATCTATGTGTATTCTCGGAGATTCAGGCAAATTGTGTGTACAGTCCATGGCATTCTACTGAGAAGAGAATACGTGCTTTGCAATTGCCGAGAGTGTAGTAGAGTTGATATTTTTCCTATATGGTCCTGACTGTTTAGTGTTTATATGACTACATAATACTATAGGTGGCATTTTGTTTGTCCGCTAGCAAAATAATGATATCCTTATTCGTATTTATGTGTATATCAGGTTTGACTACAAAAATTTTACCACGTGAAAATATGGCCCATTTTAATCATTATGAGATTTAAAAAAATTTGGTTCATTCAATTATTAAGTAATTATGCATTTTTAGTCAACAACAATAATAAGAAATTTAAAAAACATGAAAATCTCACTCGTAATTCGGTATCTAAACATCTGGCAACATAGCACAACACACACACTTGATTTGTCTTATGTCAGTTTAGCTGAAGCGCCGGATTCATTCTTTTTTGAAAATTAAGTATTTACAAACGTCGAATATACAGATACTTGTTTAGGCAGAAACGTTGCAAAATGCCCATTTAGCCGCCAGAATTAACAGGGAAAGATATCCCAAGAGCACCTACCTGATGCCCCTACCCTCCTTGCAAAAAAAAAACCTTTAGATTTAACAGTTTCATTTACATTTATATCCTGGCAGAGATAATACCTGTACGATGTTAACATTTTTCTAAGTTTAAATTCTGCAATAATTCCGAAAATACCCATGGTTAATAGGACAGTTTTAGCCTGAAATGGGCCCTATTATCTCATGTTAAAATATTTGTACTCATACCTGATACACCCTTTATAATGCCTACTAAAACTATAAAACAAGTCTGAGATCCGCATTAACTTACGAGATCCATTGGCGTCTGCAGGATTACATAGAGTCCCATGTAGCGTTGAGGCTATATACAAAGGAAGGACAAAATTTATATTCAAAATATGCATATTAGAGCACAAAAGAAGCTGGAAGTGATGCCAGAAGGTAAAAAAAAAAACATTAATTCCAGAGGACTCTCAGAAGGACACCACGAAATAATGTTTAGCAATACGGCAATACCCAAGCTTTGGATTGAACGCCTCATCATGAACCAACCAGCAAGAAGTGGCAGCCAACCAAAAGCCTCCAGATCCTAGACTGGAGAACTAGAGCTTGAATCAAGACCTTCTACAAGTTCAGTCCGACAACGTGAGCCAGGAGCTTGAAAAAGTGAAAAGCGGAAAGCAAGTTGGTCACACAACAATCCATGGACACAGACGCCTCCAACGATGATTCACAAAGGGACAGTGGAAGCTCCGGTACACCGAGATCCCAATCATGGACAAGGCACGTCGCAGGAAAAACCCTCAGGCAGCGAAGACAATAAGGAGCCTGCAAAAAAGTCCCAAAGCCAGTCACCCAGCTTCAGAACGCCACCGTTATCGTGCCAGTTAACCAAAAGCCGAAAGCCCCAACTTTTTTTTTACATTGATCCGCTCACAGAAGACAAAGTCCATACTACCTTGAGGTTCTTTTGGTTCTTAAATAAGTTCTAGCTTAAATGAGGCTGGTCAGGATGTCAGAAAAACTCCCATGGCAATAGCGATAGAATAACAAGTCACCTTGCGTCCATGTCTGAGAGATTGCAATGAATCGGTGAGAGTTGGATTATGGAGCACTGCTCCAGATGTGGAAAAAGCATTCCATACATGGTCCAATTAAAGGGGGTGTGACCCAAAAATGAAAGTTCTAGTACAAAAAAATCTAAGAATAAATATTTGAACCGCATCTTGCTACGATGGTCCGTTTTCGAGTTAGGGCGGTTACAACTAGATGTTTGTGACGTCACACTGGATTATCAGGGATAGTATTAATACATGTAAGAATTTTCCAGAACAAAAGGCAATAATCTCCTAGAGCGAATTGCAACCACTCAAAGTATAGGGTACGGTTCACTGACGACTGACGAACAAAAGACTGCGATTTCGGCGGTTGTGACATCACAAGTTCCTGCATAATTTATCTTCATAAGGAATTTTCTCGGAGACTATTTTGAATATAGGACTGTAGTTTTCACGAAAGATCTTAGAATTTTTTTCTTGATTTAAGGCTTAAGTCGTTTTTTAGGGTCACACCCCCTTTAAGTGTTATAAAGGAGAAGAAGTTATGCAGAAGTTAAGAAGTTTTTTTTTTGCAGGAAACAGAAAGCCTAATTTTTGAGAAACGGTTTCGACGATCGAAGATACCTGGTCATGCCAGGACAAGAAGAGATACTGAGGGATTGATTGAAAGGTTTTGTCCCGATGTCCTCAAAACTGGATTATCATCGGCGGAAGATTTTTTATTTGAGAATACTGCTCGAGTTTTGGAAGCATTGAGTTTGAATAGGTTGTTAAGGCCCCAGTTGGTAACGGTGTCAAGATCACTGTTGATAGAGTGAATCTGTGCTCGAGCGAGGTGTGTGGAAGTGGCTGCAGTAAGCGGTTTGTCAGAAGACAAAGATGCCATCAAGCTACTATCGTCTGCAAAGCTGTATATGGGGTTTCGTGTCACATTTAACAAATCATTTCTAAAAATGATAAACAGTGTTGGGGACAGAATTGACCATTGGGGAACGTCGGAATTTATAGGCAGGGTATCAGAAGACACATCATCGACAACAACATGCGACTTGCCTTCCAAAAAGCTCCCCAGCCAATGGCAAAATTGATTCGGGAGACCACGATGGAAGTTTGCTGAGGAGAAGTTTGTGCCACACCTGATCAAAAGCTTTGGAAATGTCCCATGCCTCAATTCTGGATTCGCCATGTTTTTCGAGAGTCGAGTTCTAAATATGACTGACGTACGCCAGCAGATTCCCTTTTGATCATTTAGCACGAAACTCGTACTGTTTGTCAGAGATAAGCTTATTGGCTTCGAAATATTTAACCAGTTTCAGGTTGACTGCCTTAACCATCACCTTCGAAAGTACAGATATAAGTGAGATGGAAAGATAATTGCTAGGAAGAGTTTTCTTGCCCTTTTTCGGGATGGGCTGCAGCCTGGCACATTTCTAGATAGACGGGAAAAAGCTTCGACTGTAAGAGAGGGAAACAGTTTGCAAAGAACTGAACCAATTCTTGAGCGTAGGTTTTGAAGACAATTGCTGGAATGCCGTCGGGACCACAAGATCTCCCAGTGTCAAGTTGCAGGAGAATTTTCCTAATAGTTTAAGATCTTAATACAACATAAACTTTGTTTCATGACGGTTCATATTTTAAACATAATTTGTCTTCTTTTTTTAACAAATAGAGATTGACTGAAACAAATCAATGACGTAAAAACGTTCGTCGGTTCTTAAACCAGAAGTCATTCATTTTAATTTGTCAAAAAAATTGAATGTGTCATAGGAATTAATCTACGACAACCCTTTACCAGGGTTATCCTAAACACCCCAAAAATGCAAGGAAACCGATATTCAAGCCTGCACCTCCGTCGAAATTTGTCTGGTGCCAACAGCGAAAATTGCTACCCACCGTTGCACAACAATAACATCAACGCAAACAAGTTCCACCTCAGCTGTCACTCAAAGCCATCATGTACCAAATGAATGATGCCCCCGGAATGGCTTGACATCCCCAGCCTCCGATATTCAGAATTGATGTCTGGAATTGCAATTCATTCAAATATAAAAAATTGGAGCCACAGTTCCTAGAAGAACAACAAATGATAGGATACTCCTGCGAGAGACTCTTCTCAAACCTACAGAACGATTCTCCCTGCAGAATTATACTAAAACAAGACAACACAGAGACGGTAGAGACGATTTTAACGCAAAAAAAGTCGAGGAGAGTGACCCTATATCCAACCAAAAAGGGCTTTTAATCAAAGAATACGCAGACAGACTCACATATATCTGAAAATTTGCCTTTTTTTGCTGCCAATTAGTTGTGAAACTGAAAATGCGCTCAAGCTACAATTCAAGGACAAAAACTGAGTTGGTAAAAATAATTATTAGTCTGCCAAGTATAATGTAGGCTGGACAGGGTGAGCTTTTATTTATGTCTCCATTGGCTGGTGCAGTATAGCTACAGCAAAGCTGGCAGAACATCGTACATCTAAAGTACTCTAGGATGGTTGTTTCATTTATCTATATAAATTTTAACAATGAAAAACTGGTTTGTTTATTTTGCTAATTTAAAACAATCGCAATAAATTTGTGGAGATGCAATAATATCCAGTCCTCTTAGCAAAAAAAAAGGATCGACAAAAGTTACTTAGTAGGTAAAAAATAGGTAGTCTTGGTGGTGAGTAAGTACTTTGATCTTTTCATCTTTCGATTGTAGAAATTTTCATTCGCTTCTGATAATAAATGTTTGTTCAATGAGATACAAAGTAGGTACTCACCGCCGCACAAAAAAAAGTTAGACAATAATAACTTTTCTTTATGACAAAAGTACTGGAGTACGATAGACTGTAGTACTGCCACCTCTGACCTATACTTAGATAATTGGCATAGTTTTCTCCATACCATATATTCTAAAGGCATAAAAGACTTTTATATCTCTTGGAGCCGCTTCGCTAAATACGGAGAGCATATCTAAAAAATCCTCAAATGTTAAATTTCCTTTTCCATCCCGAGAAAATACTTCAAAAATTCTTCTTTTAAAGGGGTTTTCCTGAAAAAATAGCTTTAGTTGCCACATTAGGTACTATTGTTGGGGTGAGCGATTTAAAACAATTTAGCCTCAAACATTTCAGTACTTAGGGGGCAAAAAGCACCCTGGATCGAGACTATTTTGCGTGCATCGTTATAGGCTATAGGATATAATTTTACCCTAAATTCTTGAAGCTCATCCATATCTTCCACTGGTAACTTAATTGAATATGCTTCATTTTTCTTCATTGCTCTAGGAACTACATCCGGTTTTATGTCTCGAAATTTTTTGTAAACCCTAAAAAGGTTTTGTTTGTGCGAAATATATTTAAAAATGTTTGAATTAAGTACCTGCCTTAAAATTTCCTTTCTTGTGAAAAACGTACAATCCTAGAAAAAAAAACACAATGTAAATACCTGTTCCTGGATAAAAGTTTACGATATCTATAGCAACCACCTGGAGAAATTTGGTTACAATATGTAAATTCAAAATTTTTAGGCTTTTTTCGTGTATTTAGTTCGGCGAAAATAAAGAAAAAGCATCGTATATTTGCCATTCCTTTAGAAAATTTCAACAAAGTACACTCGACGTCATTCATAACTTATTTCTGTGACGACAAAAAACTTAAATGTAACTTAATACGTAACTCCACGAGTCCACTGAAAACTCAGTTCACTGATAATATTTTTTATTGACCTAATTTGACTTTACAAAATTCACTGATCATCTAACGCTATTACTTTAGTTGACTAATGATCCACAAGCTACGCGCTTTACATAGAAATACATTTTCAAACGAGAATAGAGTTCCTGAATACTTGCGGTCGTGTCATAAACGTTAACAATCTTGCTGGCCCCTCCGCTTCGATGCGATTCCGAAACACCTCCCTCTTAAATCAGTTCATCTTGATCTGACCATTTTATTCTTTATTCTCGTGAAAAGCACCTGTCAAGATGCACCATCTTTTTATAACCATGGTTTGGAAATAATGTCCTCTCGATCTATGTATATGTTCTTCGTATACTTGTCATCATCCCATCTATCCACAACCAATAAGCATCTCTATGCCTATTGAATAACTCCCTTCTAGAATGCCTTCCTGTTCATCCAGGTCTACCCTCACGCCTGCGCTGCCGAAACTGAAATTAAGGTCCGTTGCGCTTGTAGAACGGTGGTAGCACTCGTAGTATTCCTCATCGTAAGTATTTGTAGAGTGTCGCCTCTGTTAAGGATAATACTGATCTCCTGGATCGGCAGTCGTATCCCAGCAATCTCCTTGGAGTTTTTCTTTCTTCGCTCGCCGGATTTTTTATTCCTCGAGTTCGTTAGCGATCTATTGTCGGTTTCTTCTAGACGCAAAAATGGGTTGATGTCACTATCTTTTAATAATTGATCACTTTTGAGCTGTTCAGAACTTGGTTCAGTTCAGTTCAGTCAACCCGTTGCAAATCGAAGGCTTCTAACAGGAATTTCTTCACGCTGATCAATTCTGAGGCAGTGCTGGCCTTGATCTAGATATCGACGGCTGGAAAGCATTTGCGTTGTTATGTAGTTTACCAGAACGATGTTTGATTTGGAAATCGTATTCTTGTAACTTCCTCATCGAAGGCTGAGAGTCATCAGGGCCGAGTTCAGAAATAACGCACAGGGTGCGAGTGCGATTTTATGGGTGTGCCTGAATTGACAATTGGCCATTGGGCCTATAGCACCGTCTAGCATTTTTGAACAGCTTGGGCGTCGCACCGGTGTCACACTCACATTTCTGAACTCGCCCCAGCAGGCGAACGAGATCTTAGCCGCGGCGGTAACATTCGGTGCCATCTATTAAGTTTCCATTGAGGCTTGAGACTCATCAGAAGAAGAGGGAGATCTCAGCCGTAGTCTACAGTCCCGCTTAATATGTGCTCTCCTTTCGCAGTAGTAACATTCGGTGCCTCATTCCAAGTTCCCTTGTGTTCGATTCCTCCTATTGGTTGTTTTTCTTCCCCTATTGACACAGCTTTATTCTAATCTTTGGTTTGGACAAGTCTATAAGACTCTAAACTTAGCAATTTCTACAGTCCAGTGGCGCCCTCCGCAAAATGCCAAATAACTTTAGAACCACCCAAAGCTAACAACCGCTGAGCATAATGTGTAATTTTTATCAGAACATGGTTATGGGTAATTGAAAAAAAAATTAAAAACAAAATAGGAAAAATTGTAACTAAATGCAAAACTAAAAAGTAAAGGTAATTGGAAGAGAAGCCGGATTAACAAGTGAAATCTGATTAAAAAAGTAATCAAAAAATGTAACTATGTATGGAATTATTAAAATAAGTAAATAAAATGTATAAATTCACACAATTTGAATGGAAGTGGTTCTCAATTCTCAAAATCTCGATCTATCTGTGCAACAAAAGTAAAATTAAATTAAAATTACCTATACAAAATTATTAGTCAGTCATATTCGAAAACACAGTGTGAATTTCCGGTGTCGCTGTCAAGTGACTTCTGACACCAAATTGTCGCGGATTCAGCAGGTCCACGGCGAACTTAGTTCGATGGCAATAACAACTTTGATTGAACTAATCAAATTTTCCAAAATTCCCTGATCACTTATCTCTATTACTTAAGTGTATACAACAATTCTCTAATTTATGCGGACTTACAAACTACGCGTTTCATATATGGAAATATTTTGAGTCGAGAAACCTCTAGAATCGTCAAGCAGCAAAATTTCTGAATACTGGCTCTCGCGTCGTCAACGTTAAAACAATTTCGCCGGCCTCTCTAATGCTGATAAAGTAAAGAATCGAGAATAAACATACAAGATTAGCCAATATCGTTCTTTATACTAGGCTCTTTTCTGAAATGTTTCAATTTGACCTCAGAAAAAGGGAATGACATTGATTTTATGAGAATGAGGATATGTAGGTATGAAATTAGAACATTCATGTATAATATGACACTTCTATATCTTGAGATGTACGCTAAAATTTTTGTTTATTATACCAATATGGTTGTATTTTTGATGTTTTTGACAGATCACAGAAAGAATGTCAATAATGTAAATGTCGTTCCTTCTTCTTCGTAGGTGTGTCTATTATTCACATCTATAGAGTTACATGAAAGTTAATTAAAAATCTGCAGTTTAATTAGTACCTAATTATTACACTATGGTATCCATTTGAAAAGCTAGTACCTATGTCACTAAATTTCCGTAATTTTATAATGTTTAGGCAATGTGATTGGTTCAACTAATCAAAAATGTCTGAAGCATCTATCATCAATAATTTAAAATTTAATCATCATTAATTGTTTTTTTTTCATAGTCTCAGACCATAATTAATAAGCGAAAAAGGCCCAAAACTGTTGGTGGCTGTCAAGACATATTCAAAAATCTAGATCCTCCTTATTTCAAAATAGTACTTTTTCACATCATGGAGCCTAAATTAAAATTATCAATTGATGATCTGAATATATTTGTCTGAGGCTTATAGGTACTTCATGAATAAAATATAAGTAGATGGATTGATACAAATTCGAAATAAAGAGAATTGTTAATGTGAATGTTCCACTACATAAAAAGGTTATTTTAGTGAAATTAAAACGAACTTACCTGGTAATTTATAAGTTGCTGATCTGTAAACGTGATTAGCTTATTTCCCATTTCACTTTTAAATTACCTAAAAAAAATACAAACTTCACTGTTCAACTTTCCTTTCTTGTGGTGAACTGACACAGGCAGCCCCTAATAAAGTAGGTGCGGCACACACGAGGTTAACTTAATTAATCAAGTGTATCGATTTGATGACTGAGCATAAAACAACAAGACTATAATTTTATAGATTTTTTCAGACAAAGGTAAAGGCTTGATTTTCTGCTTTATTTCTCTGAAGAAAACATTCTTAGAGTAGAGCAGCTCTTAAAGCTAAATATGCACATAGATAGTTATTTATTTTCTTTCTCATTCTTCGCGTTCGAAGTTACTGAATGCACAAATATTAATGCAAGTTGTTTTTGATATATGTAGTGTCCGAAACTTAAAAGTACAATACTTCTTGCAACTGATTTCATGATGAACCACATAACTTTATTTCTGAAAATATTTGGGATAGTTATAAACGAGGTGAAGCTAACTTTGTTTTTTGTCCATCTTCAAGAATTTCAAAATAAGTCAAAATGTATTTTAAAACAATTTATTTATTTACCATACAAGTTACCTCACGTAAATACGTAATAATGTATAACCAGATTAACCCCTTACATATGGAATTTTTAAAGAGCATACATATTTCAAGTACAATATAGGTTAAGCAGTTACGCTTAGCTGCATAGTCTATATGTACTGGAATGCGCAAAAAGATCTAAATGTTATCGAAAATATTTAAAGTTTATAATAATATAACATGCACTAAAGACTATGAATCACCGGAGTTGACTTAGGTGTTCAAAAGAACGACGTAATTAGATTCTAGATATTTTATTTGAACTTTTATTCTAACAAAACACCTAAATTTAGGAAAGTTTATCAAGGCTAAGAATGTAGAACATAGGGTGTTGCGTTGAATTTTTGATATATAAAGTTGCTTGATAGATACTTTTCTTAGTTTCAGATAAATTTATTTGATAAATAATTTAAAGATTTGTTAGGTATTTATAACAGTTATAGCCACACTGAAATGTAAAATTGAATTTCACAATTTTCCAAGCACAAGGCACAATATTAAATACATTAACTATTTTAAAAGGCTTTTTGGAATATTAGAATTTTGAAAATAAATTAGTTTCTGACAATTTATTAAAATACAACGCACGACCCGGGATTAGGTAGCTATAAGAAAAAGATAAATTTGAATAAGTTTTCAAGAAGATAATTAGTAGGTCCTAAGTTGTCGCTAAACACTTATCACAAATTATTCTCTGTTGCTATTTGAAATACAATATAAATTTGTACTTGTTACATTTCAACTTTCATGTCCTAGAATTTTTGGGAAAAAATCATATTAAAGAGTAATAATTTTAGCCTGTTAATTTAAATATCAATTCCAAAACTTATGTATGAAATAAGTTGTCGAAATAAACTAAGTTTAAACTTCCGCAGCTAACGCTTGTTAGGTGATTATTATTTTATACGAGTTTTCGTACCCTTCATTTTGAAATCAGATTCTTAGTTGAAACAAACAATTAATGCCAATGCCTTGTTTAAGTATCAAAATCTAAAACTAAAAATTATACCAAGATGCTATAAAGCATAAATATTGTGTAGATAATTAACTACTAGGCACAGGGACTTATTATAATTTAATATGATTTATCCAAATCGAAGACTTAATGTGACGGTACAAGACAATACTATAAAATTTAAGTTAAGGAAAAAGTGTAATTAGGGTAATTATTTCTAATTAAAGCCTATATGGGTTATCTTACTTATTTATTTTTAGTATCAATTTAAATATCCAAATATCGAAATTAAAAATTAAGAAGAAAAATTACCATAATAAAATATTGGGTATACTTTGCAAGCAAGATAATAATGACATGTCAGATTTAGCACAAGTAAGTATATTTCAATATTTTAAAAACTGCTGCCTATTACACTCTAACATTCTAATAAAAAAAAACGCCAATAATATACATTCAAATCATCTTTCCTACTATAAAAAAATTAATTTTTGTTCAACTTAATGTACGTTATAGATTTGCCAAAAATTGTATTTTTAATATGTTAGATAACCGAAAAATATTATTTATTTTCGAAAATATATTTGCAGTTTTTTTTGCGTTATATCAAGCAGAATAACAATACTAGCTGTCAACATGACAAGTACATCTGATATGCTTCAAATATTTGTTATTAAACACCCGAAAATGATTTTAGTAAATATTTTAAAATACATTTAAAGCTTGCGGTCAAGGTGTTCCACTGCTCGAATTATTATTTTATAATATTCAAATATGTAACAATATGTATTATTGTAAAAAACTTTCTAATAAACAACTTTATTATTTTGATTCATACTAAACGTTTTTTTGGCATTTTTTTTCCTTGTCATTTTAATAAAATTAAGCTTTATTGCTGTGTTGAACAACATTAATACTTTAAGAGGCGACTTTCAGTCTTTTTAAGTGAAACGATTTCTATATAGTTCCACTTTTTTTTAAGGATAAAAACAAGACGAAAAAAAATATTATTATCGTCATTTAGTACCCGTTTTGTACATTATAGTATACCTACATTATAAAAAGGCAAATTCGATACTACATCAAACATTGAAGTGCTCATACAACGATTAATGGTATTGATCTTACTGTCAGTTTTATTGCTTATGTAGTTAGTTGGTTCAATACTGTAGTAAGTAATAGGTATTTCATATTTCTATTTTCATATGTATTTACTGCTTTTAAAAAGATAAGCTAAGAAATATCTTAAGTTGAACATCTATTAATCGAGGGAATTCTTAGAGTGGATGTTGACGCAATTTTAAGTCCGAATTGTGCTTGATTTTTAAATCTATTCTTATAAGAAAAATATATACGTATATTGTGGGAATGTCCTGAAACGATACTCCACGATACAATTTTATCCCATAGATCTACCTTGATTTGCTTCTAAAATCTGACCAAAAACAGATAAGTAGGTAACTGTTTAGTTTTTTTTTCAGTGGGCGTCCAAGTTCAGAACATTTCCACGACACATATTTTTCTCCATAGAATTGAATTTCCAAATCAATCGCAACTCGCAAAAAAAATTGAACCAAAATAGACCGCAATACTTTTGCAAGATTCTCGTTAATAATTACCTACGTTAAACAATAATAAAATGACCAAAAAAACATTTATTAGGAATCTAGATTATATTATTATATTTATTATACAAAAAAAAAATAGCTAAAAATATTAGAACCAACTTGATCCGCCACCCAGCTTTGAACCAATTCCCCCAATACCCTTTCCCAAAAAGTTGCTCACTCTTCCCGCAACCATGTTCCCTACATTCGATAAGGGATTTCCATCATCGGCTCCTAAGCTTTCCATTAGAGATTTACTTTTGCTGTCTGATTCATCTTCGCCAATTTCCAACCCTCTGGAAGAGCAACAATTTTTTTAAGGCAATAATCTTTTTCACACATAAGTAATCCTTACCCTTCACTTTGACCCAAAGTCAATGCACATGTGGCTTCCTCTGTCTGCATCCTTTGCGCGATCGTTTGGTAGGCTTTAGAGTTCAGTTTGTCTTCCATAACTCCATGGAGTTCAAAATCGGAGAATATTTTCTAGAAAATTTTAAAAACACAACAAACAATAATTAGGGCCATCACCCTTGAGTTTATTAAAAATGGCGGTATAGGTAAATAATCCTCTTATTAAATTAACCGGCACAACGAACATTTTCATGATTTCAAAAAAACTGTATCTCGGATATTTCTCAGCCGATTTCAATGCTGAAAGTTTGCTACTGCTATAGTGATTTCAAAACTTTCATCGTAACTGAAAGGATAATCTAGCCGGCGAATTATCAATACGCGTTACCGGATATTTCTAGTAGGGAATTCTCGAGAAAATTGGAGAAGGCTTGGAACGGTATGCATCAAAACATTATGCCGCCCAATCTAGCCATATCCCGGAAATCTGACCAATCGAATTCGATGTGGATATTTTGAGCGGCATAATGTTACTACATGGGCTAGATCAGGGGTCAGAATGTCGGGACGGCCTGTTGCACTTGTCCGTTAGAAGTGCCCCATGTTTTGCTTATTTCCCGCTCATTGCTCTATTGAAATTAATGCGAAGACATTTTAATATTTATTCATGATGGAGATGAATGCGATAAAACTACCAAAAAATAATGCAAAGAGCACATAATTTGCCATTCTCCAAAGATATTGTATTTGTTGACAGTACATCATCCTGCGATGCACTAAATCATTGTTTAACTTTTTGACTGATTACGTGATATCTTCATATTTTAGTAACAAGGAGTAACTATAAATACAAGCTTATTCAGAAAATTAAAAAGGGGAAGGAAATTGTACAAAAACGTCTAGAGCTTAAGTTTTCAATTATTAGGTGTTCAGATTTTGCTAAATCTAAATTTAGTAACCCCTTATATCCAAAATGGATATATTTCTTAATTCCTTCCTTTCAATCAAAAAACTAACAATTTAATCAATATATTCATGAAAAAAATCCATAGGGAACACAAAGTACATCTAAATTTCTGAATTTTATAACACGTACAAAAGAAGTTATAGATTTTTTAACATCAAACATTGTTTGCTAAATTTAATACTAATACTCTATCGCCTGTGACGCCTGTAACATTCTGACCCTTTAATACCGCCATCATCGTCCCGACATTGTGACCCCTGATGCAGCGCATGTAGTAACATTATGCCACCCAAAATAGCCATATCGAATTTGATTGGTCAGGTTTCCGGGCTATGGCTATATTGGGTGGCAGAAGTTTTTGATGCAAACGGTATACAAGCGCCCTGGTATTGGATGGTAAAGTGATCAGCAGCCGGATTAAGTTTTTCATTAGTCGACACGAGTCGAGCGTCGCGTATAGGCATAGTGATGATGCGAGACTCGAGACTGGTCTCGTCTCGACTTTTCGAGACGAGACTGGCTTTTGGTCTCGTCTCGTGAAGTCTCGACGAGACGAGACCAGACTCGGCGAGAGTCTCGAGATTACACTTAAAATTTTTCTTCCATAGCTTTATTATTGGACTATTCTGGGCTATTTGAATATGAAATCAGTAAACTAAATATCACGGTTACTCTTTACTGTGATTTTTCACTCATTGCTTTTTCACAATAAAAACCATAAATACAGGGTGTCCGAAAAATAGCGTAAAAGCTCTCCACGTAGTAGAGGACCCTTTGAGAAACCCTAGAAAAATAATTAAATTAAAAAAAATCCTTCTCTAGCATTATTCTTGGTAATATGAAGAGGTAGATGTGAAAATTCGCCTTCGAATTCTTCAGGTAATTACATGGGTATTTAATTTAATTTATTTAACATATTGTCAACGGGATATTTTCAGTGTTGCCAATTTTAATAAATATTAAAATACAACTAACTTTCTTATGAATGCCACTAGATTTTTTAAAGTATTTTTCTGGGGTTCCTTGTAGGGTCCTCCACCACGTAGAGAAGAGTTTTTACGCTATTCTTTGGACACCCTGTATAACTCGAGACCAGACGAGACCACTCGAGACGAGACTAAGTCACGGTCTCGTCTCGAGGTGTCGAGACGAGACGAGACCAATCCTAAGTCTCGTCTAGTCTCGTCTCGCGGCACCACTATATAGGCAACATCAACGTTATTTCCGAGTCGCGTCCTTCGACTTCGAGCAATTAGAATCCCCATCCTGTTATAGTAATATAGTTTTGGGTTAGTTTCCATAGCAAGACCTTTTCCAATATATAGGCAACCAAAGAAGCAGCCGGCTATTTTTTCATGTAAAGAAATACTCAAAATATGGAAACAAATCTTTAGTTAATCGATCAAAGAATGCTTAGGCCAAATTTGAGCCAATTCTGGTGTGCCGTTTTTTTTTTGCACCTTCAAAGCGTTTCGCGAAAATGGGCCTATTTGCGCATCTACATGGGATACTGTTGTCCCCTTAGGTTTAATTCAAATACCTAGTTTTGCCTGTTGTAGTGATGCTAGTGCTATTATCCTGAATAAAATGTATCCAAGTTTGGAAGAGTAGTCTCACCTGTGAACCCGCTTACGTAACTATTGGTGACAGAAGTGGGTTAGGTGAATAAATATACTTTTTTTTTGTCTATGGTAGAAACGGGACAACATACTATCGGAGGTGCTTGATTTATTGAAACTTGCGGACGAGAAAAGAGTGAAAGAAAAACAGGTAGAGAACATGACTGGCTTCAGAAATATTTGTCAGAACAAGAAAACAGGCGACTGAAAGACCAACGCGAAGAACGGTAACAAAGACAGAAAAATGTTAAACGCATCGGATTTTTCCAGAACATCCTACACGAAGTCAAGGAAAATAAGAAGAGTCGAGAGAACTCAAAGGCGAAATAGGAACGGTCAAAGGAGAAAGAAGAAGTGTATTTAGTAGTGACATCGAGAGAATGGTCCGGTTGGCATATCCATAAGCTCTCGAAGAGTTCGTCGAACAAATAAATGTCAGTTACTTTATCGATGTGATGAGAGATATACTATAGATATGCAACCAGTGCCAAGAAGTATGCATAACACACCCCTTATGCTTTCAAGAAAGGACCCAAGACACCATCTAGGAGAGAAATAGATCAATACTAGCCTGCATTTTCCCTGCGACATGGTTACCTCAAGGTAGTTCCAGTCCTCAATCATTTAGCAGTGACAAACATCACAGCCAGGCACGGGATAACGATGAAACTTCATACCGAGCAGTGAAAATATCTTGAGTCCGAAGTGTGGAAAGAGTTGTTGAGGTTACTGAGAATAAGAAATAACAGCTTGATCCCATTTTATTTACAGTCTGCCGGAATGGTCGAGAGGACCATCAATCAATTGGTCTAGGTGTTTGTGGATGAACACCAGCGAGGCTGTGATGAACTTGAACTGGTTCCTCTTTTGGCTTATAGAAGCTCTCAACATGAAGCCACCGTTTATACACCATCAGTGCTGGTGAATGGAAGAGCAGTGAAGCTTCCTTAGATCTAATGTTCGGCAGACGACTAGCCGTATCTCCATTTTATCTGGTTTATCAAAACGACAAGCTCAGAGTGGTTCACGATTTCGCCAGGAATAAACTACGTCCAAACAGACAAGACGCAGTCATTGAACGCCTTCAAAAGAGGCGACGCCGTCTGGTTGTATTAGCCACAGTGAAGGAGAAAATAGGCCCGAAATTAGTAAGACCGTGAGAATGCCCACGAGATCGTAGAGAAGATCAGCCATTTGGAATAGAGGATTCAACTTTCAGCCAAACCAAAGGTCATTCATGTAGAAAGGCTAGCCCCATACAGAGGTACGAATACACACATCGAAGGAGACGTGAATTAAACTTAAAACGATTTGGAAAGAGTTTGGTATTGGACGGTCTGTATATCTGATCAATTTATAATGATATAGCTTTGCGAACACTCAGGTTCATTTTGGGTAGACTTGCGTGTTGTAGTAGTGATAGTTTTGTCGTGGCTTTTGTGTAATCATCTGAATAAAATTGAGGTTTGTAGAAAGACATGGAGCAATAATAAGATTATTCTGTTTTGTTTTCCAAATATAGGTTGAACATATCTCTAACTTCTTAGGACATCACTTGAAAACCCCATTGAAGAAAGAATCAGTATAATTTGGCAATTCACAAAGTGCATCTTTAGTCTAATCGGAAAATTTTCTATATGGAAATAAAAATTGATTTTCAAGCCAATGATCATTATAACATACGTTTTGGAATGTCAGAATTTTGTCCGCAAGGCCCTTTTGACTTAAGTCTTATTTTTTTTTATCCCTGGACTTTATTGGCAACTCTGGGATGTTTTGGATGGATATTTTTCGATGTTGATACCACAGTCAAGAAATAAATGTATTTAAAATTTAAATAAACAACTACTTTTTGACTTACCTTCACGATATGAGCAAGGCACGTACATTGGTATGGATGTAAAGTATGGTCCAGCCTCTCTGACAGCCAGTTGCATATCATATTCATTTGTCCAGTGTACCACTGTTCAAAAAAGTTTAAAATCCATAGTTCATCAGTTACTTTACCTCTGATCTGCTCCATACTGTTACGTAAGAAATTTACGTAGCTTTGGCCTACATCTTTTCCAGAACCTGAGACATTCTGAGAGCGAAACAAATTATAATATTGATGTATAATGGATATTATTTTAAAAATACCGTAAAGCTCAATATGGACCCAATAAGACTTCCTTCGTCATATCTTGATAATTTAGATAGTGTTGCTTCCAAAACTGACATTAATTTGCTGAGCATACCTTGATTCATATTTGCCAAAGTCTTGTCTATTTGATCATCTATTTTGGTGTGATATTGGTGCTAAAAATAACATTCCATAATCAACACTAACACCAGGGAAAGTTATTTGAAAAAAATTACCAAATCAATTCCGTCAACGGCACATAACTTGAACGATTGGTTTTTGGCATCCAAAATAACGTTAACCATTGCACACATTTCTGATGGCAAAATGTAATCGGTTGACAGGAAGGTCACAGACTTTTTGAGCCACTGATGGAAAGCAGTTTCTGTTCGCTGTATGCAAGATTCGATCATATCGCACGCCATTAGTTTTAATCTTTGCTCTAAATGTTGCCTGAATTCAGTATCTGGCCAGTGAAGATCTCTTATAAACGATTGTAAAGCGTCTAGTTTCCAAAACAGATCTTCTGATGTCGCACAACCATTTCTGTAATGAATAAATGTATGATAGCGCCGACGATACGCAAATAAAGAGGTTGGTTTGGGTTAGTTATTCACATTTGGTCGAAACAGGAAGAGTACACAAAAATTACATGTACCTACCTGCTGAATATTCGCTCGCTTATATATACAAACAATAATAAGAGATCACAACGAAACACGGCAAGTGTGGTAGAGAGATACAACATCGATAACATTGCACTGAGTGAAACAGGAAATGCGGTCGAGGGCCAACTCACTTTCTTCCTTCAGGAAAGGAAATGATGAATATGAATAACCCCGAATCATCGAAGTAAGCTTTGCTATAAAGAACCAACTCGTCGGTCATCTTGACTAGCGCCCTTTTGGGAAAACTGATCGACTCATAATTCTCCATCTAAAGCTTGTATATAACCAAGAAGCAACTATAATCGGTGAATGAGCATCAAATTTGGATTCCAACGATGACACAATGGAAGAGTTTTATAGCCTCCGGAATAGACAATTAACAAATATACCTCAATCTGACACAGTTATTTTGCCAGGAGAAAAAAAAACGTGCCAACAGCCAGGATCAAAGGACACAATAAGCCCTTGACATTGCGTTGTTCTACCAGTACTTGCAGTTTCTTAACCCTAACCCTCACTAACTGTTTGTTTCTTCCAAATTATTTCCGCGTTATATCCGTTCCATCGCCATTCGCCATCAGGTTTTACCTGGTTTATCGACCTCTCTCTCATCATCTTTCTGCTAGGATGTTGCATCATTTTTTAAACAGTTGCTCCTCGATTTTTTAGTAGGTACTTCAGCACCACTTCTAGCGATTCGATATCGTTTTTGTAATTGGTTTCCACAATAAGCTGGCCTACCTGGGTCGTGGAAGTTTTATCACCTTGAGTAGGTGGTTGTACTTATGTTGGATGATAAGATTTTATACCCTTGTAGGTAATCGTGTTTGCTTTTTATTGTGATTTGATAATACAATTTATTTATTCGAATTAATTTTCAATGTTCAAGAAAAAAGGCGAGTCATTTGTGATCTTAACATTAATACACCCTTTGTGTGCAATAGAAGGAACATTATACCTACTTGCTGACAGTTGATGATACACAAAACATCCAAGAAAAGTGCAAACCTAGTCCATGCAAGCATGTACATACCCTTTAATTTCCCATCGTTCCTTTTCAAATCCTTTATGTATAGATTGAGCTATTGAAGATTCCATAAGGTCAACATATCTGACTACCAAAGGAGCAAATGTATCCCTTAAATGTTGATGAAATCGTCCATTCTTCAAATTATCTACAGAAGAATGTTAATTGAAAAAAAAAGAGAATAATTTTAACTGAAACAAACTCTTACCGTCTGCTCTTAGATAGTCATTCAAAATTTGAAACAGCGGGAATGAGTCCCAAGTATCTGCAGGTTGTTCAGCCAGAACTCGATCCATATCAACAGCAAATAGAGACCAGAAAATTTCCGCATGTTCAACTAGTAGGTCGCTAAACCAAGCGAATGCCTGTATGTACATAAAAAAAAGTATCAATATCACCCAAGATAAGAATAATAATTGCTATTTTTGCGTACCTATCAAACTACTGTAGCACACAAGCATGCCATACGACAGGCGCTGACTGATATACTTAACACACAGCGCAAATCTGGGATCGCTTTTCAGCTACTTACATATTAGTAAATCTCAGTGATGAAATATTTACAAATATTTTGTTGTTGAAAAGCGTCAAAAGAAATTGCAACAGAATGCAATGATTGCATAGAGCACACTACACCGAGAAGCAGATTGACCAGGCCACCCCAGTAAATTTAAGTCCAAGAATTTTATTGCGTCAGAACTAGTTCTAATGTCAAATTGTAGAAAATTCGTGAGTAAAGTTCACATTAGATGCAAAAATTGCATCAGCTTTCAAATTTTATTGCATTGTAATGTAAACGGTCTTCTACAGTAGTAGAAACAATACAATATCTATTGAACTTGAATTCACCAAGTGAGAAGATGTGAACTCAGTCGGCACCTGGGTTTAAATAATTTTATTTATCCTTTGTATTGCATATAAGTTTGCAAAAGAAAGAATGTCGAGACAAGTGGAAAAATTCGTTTTTGTATCGTTTACATAATAAAAATCAATTTATTAAATAAAATTGACAATTAATTATCACTGATAATATAATTAGTATTCTTTTAAAAATGTCCACTTGTCTTGAGAGAAAACTCAACAGTATTTAAAAGAAATAAAAGGTTTTTGAAATTTTACTGTGCTATTCTCGAAATGAAGATGACTTATTCAAAAATATTTTACATTGGAAAAATTGATAATTAATTTGAAAATGGTCTATTTTTGCGTACCTATTTTTGTAGTACAGTTTTGTTTAGAAAATAATATAGATTTTCCTCTCTAATATCCCATTTCGTACCTTCAAAAAAAATCTAAACACACAAAAACTCCAGCCCGTACGAGACTGGTCCAGACCAAAGAACAAACACGCAGTCAGAAATTTCCTAGGATTATTATTGTTACTACTGTCGGTTTGTAAAAGGGAAGATTGCGAAGCCTTTACATCGACTTATTGTGTAGAGCGCTTCCTGATTTATTGAATAGCAGAATATAAACTCTCGTGGAGCTGAAAAAAAGATTGACTAATGCTAGACACTGGAGCTTCGCAAAGTGGCGAAGAAGTAGTAGTAATCGAAACTATTGAATAATCCGAAAGAAGTATCTACAGAAAGATCTATTGAACATTAGCACAGTTTCCTCGTTGGGAGGAAGTTCGTAGTTAGAGCCGACCATTCTGTCTTGCAGTAGCTGCCTAGTTTTAAAAAGGAAGGTCGAATGGCTCTTGGAAATATTACAATGTTTGGACTTTCAAATCAAACATCACCTAGGAAGCCCCCTGCTAGCTCATCGCGACGTCCATTTATTGACATTTCTTGCAAGTTTGGCCGAAATAGGAGGAATAGGAGGCTGCCAAAAACTCTGGTTGCTTTCTACAAATAGTAAACCAAAACTGAGACAAGTGATGAAGAAAATATTACCAAGAGAAAAAAGCATGTCAAGGGATTGGAATTGGTACGTGGCTGGCTATAAAATGCACAACGACCTGAATGGCAAGAAATTAAAAGTTTCGTTTGAAGCGTCAAGGTTACTGGCTATTGGGATTTATTGCTTATGCGAAATTACTTTATCAGTCGTTAAATGGGAGAGTCCTGGATGGGAAAAGCAGTACATCGGTTCGTTGTTTCCCGTAACTTGGTGAACCAATTGCTACGTGAAGTGTACCGGGTGGTGACCACGTTGGCTCGAGTAAGAGATTCGTGAAATTGGATCAGCTGTTGTAGATAGTTGTTGATGAACACCAGTGAAATTGGTGCCTCTTGTTCTTTTGGCTTATAGTTGCTCTCAGCATGAACCCACCGGCTATATATTTTCGAGAAAACTAGAGAAGGCTTGGAGCGGCGCTTAAAGAGTTTTGAATTGACCGGTGAATTTTAATCCAAGTAGTTGTACAAGTTGTAGTAGTAGTAGTAGTTTTGTCGTGATTTTTGTGTTTAAATTTGGAAAAGTGGTTTCATCTATCAACGATCCCGAATGTAACAATGGCAACTCTGCAAGTCAGACACGGTTTCGGTGAGTGACGCAGTGACGTCCTTGATCAGGATACACTGTATTCTGTATCAAAACCTTGAAGGATATGAACGAAAAAAACGAGTGAAAATTAGAAAGAATCAAAAATCAGAAGAACGAAATAGATGAACAATAGGAAATATGACAATGTGACAATGACATTACTCTAGTGTTTCTAGATGTACGTATTTATTATGTAGCTTTGTAATTATTAGCATAAAGCAACTTCTACCACTAATCATGGAAAAGCAAAACGTTCGAATATTCTTTGCTCCTAAGACATTTTGAAAAGTTGCTCAAATTCAAGATTTCTTAGTGACCCTTAACGTTACTTTGCTTTACCCATTTGAGACAGATCAATTCAGGCCAATTGTTATCGAAAGAAACTTAGAACTGGTATTTTTGACTTTCGAAATAAATTTATTTTAATAATTGACATGAAATGATCATAAGAAAAAAAGATTAAAGAATAAAGAAGAATATAGAGTAAAGTACGTGCCGTGGGATCTGGTGGGGTGTAAGTAGCATGCGGAGGCATGCAATAGCGAGACACAGAGTTTGAGTGCTGCTTGGCGAGCCGACTGGGGGTACCCGGGGAGCCCTGCGCAGGTGCCGAGCCTGCCGGTTGCCCCGACCCTGCCGCCTGGGCATTTTGGGCCGACTGGCTGGCCAGGGGCTTGTCAGCCTTACGCAGTTGCTACAGTTACATACAAAATTACACAGACAGTCAGTACAAAAAAATTAGTGAAGCCAAAAATAAGTTTTTCAGCAATAGAAAATTAAATTTAAAAAATTTCCTTTTTGGATTCACCAACCTACAGTAAGTAATAGAGGGTTACATGTAAAAAGGCCATTAAAGATTCTGTGTTAAGCATCTTTTCAAAAGAATAAATCATAAACTGTATAGGTACAGGGTTATTGGTTATAAATGTCACCTCCCTCTACCTTTTTTATTCGACATTTTGGAAAGAAGTGGCCTAAATAAAAGTTTTATATTTGGAATTAAATTTTTTAGAAAACTCAGTTTCACATACCAGGTGTCCCACTAAGGTCGGCCAGGTACGATATTATGGAAACCATAGACCTTACGGCTTCGGGATTTTTTTTTTCTTCACTAAATCGGCCAAGAGAAATTGATGGAAATTATTTTCAAGTTTCTAGGATGACCGCTAGGGGGCGCAATTACGATGATATAGCTAAAAATTCAACTTTTCACAAGAAATCGCTATATTAAGATACTGTTTTAACAACAGAAATCAAAAGTTCAATAATTTTTGCGCCAGTTTGGTTATTAGGCTTTTTTTCGTATCTTCAGTAATAAGGGTGGGGGAAGCTGGTGAATTTTTTTTTCTAGAAATTGCTGTATCTTCCATACCCCTCATTCAAACTCATTCAATTTGGGTTTATTTGAAAGAGAATTTCATTGTTATTAGGAACACCACCTTGTTCGAGGTCGATAGTTCCCACCGCGTCTTCTAGAGGGCGCTGTTTATTCAAGATCCAGTTTTTTCTAATTTTCATGAAAAATCCAAATGGTATAATATTATTTCTGTATTGCTGTGCTTAAAGAGCAAAAAAATATCTACATTTTGGCGCAAACCGCAATTCAATATCTGCATTCGTTTTCAAGTTACGTAAGGTCTATGGTCTCCATAATATCGTACCTGGCCGACCTTAGTGGGACACCCGGTACCTATATTCAGAGAAGCTGGTCATGTTACAACTTTCTCATATTAAATGGAATACCCTGTATATTATTGAATATTCGTATTCTACGTAAATTTCTGAGCAGATTTCATGTGAAATACCCTATACCTAAAGTCAACTGTTTTGGAAATATTGACAGTTGAAAATGGACTTTTTTCCAACTTTGACAGGCTGTAAAACCTAAACGGTTAATTTTAGATTAAAATCGATCTGACAAAAGTGTCAAATACAAAAGTTTCAATAAATTGTCGAATGTTTTTAACTAAGTTGATTTTGGGCATACAGGGTGCGTCAAAAAAGAGCAGCAGTGTGAAGTTTAATTTTTTTAAATGGAACACCCTGTATTTTGTGGACTTATTTGTTAGTCCCTTTTAACCTGATTTCAACGATATGTGACTTGATATGTCTATCTTCAATAGCTATAGGGAAAAACTTGAAAACCCCTTTCAAGGTTTCACATTGAAAAAAGAAAAATTATACCATTAGGCTTTAGAGAATTTTTTTATAAACAGTTTGTTGTTCAAATTTTATTCATTAATAAACAAGGTGTAATGTTATAGTAGATCCAGATGTCTAATAGTTATTTTTAGTAGATTTGAAAAAAAATACATGAGACCTATAGGAAGGGATTTTCGCGTTTTTTCTCTATTACTATTGGAGTTAAACCGAGAGATAAACATATCAAACCATATATCGTTGAAATCAGGTTAAACGGGACTAACAAATAAGCGCACAATATACAGGGTGTTCCATTTAAAAAAATATTACTTCACACTGCTGTACCTTTTTGACGCACCCTGTATGCCTAAAACTGACTTAGTTAAAAACTTTTGACAATTTCTTAAAACTTGTTATCAGGGGGTGATATTTATAATAGGTCACCCTGTACCTACAGATATTTTTAAAAATGCAAGTGGGTATTTATATCAAAATTAGAAAAATTACTATCTAAAAAAATATTTAACACAGGAAACATTTCTATCACATTATTAGACCAAGCACTGTTATTATTTAGACATAATTAGGCATATGCACAAAATAAATTTTAACCACCCCTCACAATACCATGACAAAAAAAAATACTGATTTATCCTACAAAATGCACCTCAAATATACCCTTATTTATATGTAAGGTGCTAATAAAATCAACTTTAGTATACTGAGGAATTTTTGCATTCAAGATTTCCAATTCACGATTATTCTTTTATTGTTAAATTCCTCATTTAGACATAACCTCGCAAATCATGTGATGAAGCTTGGCACAAAATAAATGTGTCATATACCAATTAGTAGTTTATTAGCTATACTCTGTTTCCTTTTCCTTAGTAGCATAGGAAAAGGCAAAAAAAACGATCGTTAACCATATGGCAATGGGGGTTAACTGGATGGCAATTCAGTATGAATTTTGTAAGTGGTCTTTGCTAATTATATCGTGTGTGACAGACTTCACCGGTAATGTAAAAGGCGTTTTTCGCCTATGATGATGACAACTTCAGATTTTTCATCAGGGGTGCAGCAACCGCTTGATAGGACATTGAGGCTTTTGGGGTCCCAATCAACCCCTTTATCAAATTCTAGAAAAGTTTGAGGAAACAGCCGTTTTCCCAACTGATGGAGAAAAACCAGAAGTACAGGAAAATACTAATGGCAAATTTAGTAATACAAAACTCGCATTTAGGGAGATTGCTTTCACAAGTAGGTACTTCATATCTTTTAAAATCAAAATATACCTATATGATTCACATTTGTGCCAAGTTACTCCTGATAACGATTTGCAGGTTAATGTGCTCAAAATCAATACTAGGTTCGATTTCAATTATTATAGAGAAATGGGAACCTACTAACAAAGTTAAGCCCAAGTTTTCTCTCAGTAGTTAATTTCAGCCAAGTTAAGTGGTTAAAATAAATAAAATAACGGGAACAGAAACTTTCTATGGTATATAAAAATGTAAATCTTAGATTATAATGCTTTAACTAACAGTATACCAGGTTGATTTTTCAGGACATTTCCTAAATTTGTTGTATACCTATTTATTATTGGATATAAAGTGACTACAAAAATTAATAAATGTCGGGCATACTATATCAGCCATGACAATCAACTGAAATATTTAAAAACATTAAGTAAATTAATTATATAGTAAATATATGTATATTCTGTGAATGTTGGTATCACGACCCATTTTTACTAAATCTTGTAGTCATAATCCAATATAAAATTATTGTAGATAGGTACCTACTTATGTTTACAATTAAAATTAAAATTAATTGTCGAATATGATATAAAAGACATATCCATACCTCAGCGTAATGTTCTTCATTTTGTTGTAACAAGTCCACGCACAATTCTGCTAGATGAATTAAGTCGTCTAGCTTTTTACTGGGCGAGACCATTGTTTCACCTCTTAAGTCCTCTAAAATAAAATATTTGACAGTGAATCCCACAAAATTTTATTCTGGTCCTACCTTCAATTTTTGCTTCAGCAGATAACCTTGTATAATTTACTAGAGCTGCAGTCTCTAAACATTTCTTTATAACACCTCTTACTTCTTCTGGTGCTACAGGTGTTGCGATATCTTTCATTAAAACTCGCTCTAGTAAAGAAATGGTTGCTTTCAGACCACCTTCTGGTCTACCGAATGGAAATGTATATCTGAAAGTGATTTAAAATTAACATTATTTGTTTGTTGCATATTTTTGTTCAAACAAATAAGGTTTTATGTTATTCAAATTAGCATATTTATTGTGTTATTTTAGTGTATATGATGTATTATTGTACTCAAGATAATTGTATAGGCAAAAGCTTTGGCCGTATAAACAAAAATCAAAAAATTGCTCACATTCCATACATACCTTCAATTTTTATCTAAAAATATCATTTGTTCCTGTATAAATAATACCTATATTTTTTTCTATATGTAAAAATACAAGCTTCATAAATTGATGGTATGTAAAAATACAAAAATGTATTCAAACAGAGCTGAGAAATAATCCCAGAAAGAAACGAAACTGGGCCGCAATTAAAGCTCGAAATAACTGCATTAGCGCACAAACATTCTACATCAAAACGCGCTAAGCCCATTATCCTAATGTCCATTAACGACTTAGCAACAAAAATCAATCACAAGATTGAAAAATACAATTTGTTGCTATTTCGTTGAGGATTTGTATACCTCAAAAAAGAATATAACTACATATTATATAAAACAGAGCATAATATTCAATAAAAAAAAAGGAGCAAAAAAAAAAATATTTTAACGTTACCGCCATAAACAGTGACAGAAGCAAGTTCCATTTCGATGTGTAGCTGATCCATAGTGTAATGTTCATCGCATTTTTTTTTATGTCTTTATGCTCGTCCCAAAAGCTTCAAGGCTTCGAAGATAGGAACATATGAATTATTTATCATTAGGTAGGTACCTATTTACTTGCCCAAGATTAATACACCCCAAATGTGAAAGATAGCCATTAATCTTGTGCGGTTTATTTTACTTTGAGGCAGTAAATTCATGCAACGACAAACTAATGCGCCAGCGTAAACGTTGAAACATCATTGACCACAACAATTAAATAAATACACCCTTTTCTGCAATCCCAGACACTCGCAGAAAATCTGCAAAATTTAATTTTTCGGCCGAGAAACTATTTAGTAGTCAATTTAATATTTCCTTAATATTTCAGCACATTAGTGTTTTGGTTGGCAGGCCGCCCATGATGGTAAACCTTTTTGTGTTGACGCTTCGGAAACATGGAAGATTACCTAGGAAGTTGTCCTATCGAGTGCTTCCGAGTTCCTGTATAGGTCTGCTCACTGTATTAGTTTTGACCTTTTTTTTTAGTAAAATGGTCACGTATGCTGATGCTTGCAGTCTCAAATTGTATTTGCTCGCCACTAGTCCTTCTGGATTGGCAGTAGAATAGCACCAGTGTGACGTTCTGGTTATTCTTGTTTGGTTCAGTTGCACTGCGATTTCCTCACACCGTGGACCTAACACTTGCTGCTGCCGCTTGCTAAGATACAGTTCCGTCCGTCCGAAATGCTCTTTGTTCTCTCTAATCGATTGTCTGCGTTGTTCTGATGCTTGCGAGAGATCGTTGTAACGTCGCTTGTCTCTTGAGAATAACTTGCATAGTGGTGCTGGTTTTGTATAGTTGCCGTGAGTCCTCTGATATCTCATGGTGATCGTTATGTTGTCGTGTATCTCCTCTCTTAGATGTAGTACATCTTCTCATTTTCAGGGTAGCCTTGGTGGTAAAATGTTGTATAACTCTCTTCGATGTTTAAAGTCTACTGGAATGAGAAATCGACTGAATTCTGTCCCAAATGAAGCCCGTATTTATATAAAGGTGATGGTTCCATGTTCCAGTGCGGCACTAAACTTTGTTTGCTGTATGATATTTCTGCTTTGCAATACCGTCACGTCACCTATGTTATATATTCCTACTGCTTCCACGGTTTGCCTACTGCTGTCTGAATACTTCTCGATTTCAATAGTTTTTTTGTGATGCGATAAATGCGATAAGATGGTGGAGAGAGAGTTTTCTCGAGTTTTATGTCACAGTCTGTTTTTGTCGGCCTGTTACTGCCGCACCGCAATCAAAAACACAAATCACTCCATACCGCAAACGAAGTTGTCCTAGGAAAAGGAAAGACTGCACCACCGCTTCTACATATGTAACATATTCCTTAGGTACGGGTATAGTGGTTCTTCAAAAATAGTTTATCGATTCTTGGCAAGCTAAAACAACTGAGCACTGAAGATGGAAGGATCAGCAGGACCCTTGCCAAGGGTCCCAGGAAAACACTCCTACCGAGGCTGCACAAGAGGTTACCAAAATAATTTCCTTTGGTATGGAATTATACATTCCACGCTCCACTAAAGCAACCCATGCCACAAAACCCTGGTTTAACAAGCAGTATGCCCAAGCGAATGCAAAAATAGAACCCCGCATATTCTGCCTGGCGTAAAAACCAATGCGAATAAACTTTATCGTCCTTCACGGCTACCAGAAATGATTGCAATCGTATAATTAACAAGCCTAAGAAGCTACACAACCAACAAGTTCGTAATAGACTTTTTGACTGTCGGAGTGGATCAAGATCCTTTTGGTCCTTTGCCAAAACAATATGAAAAAATTTCACATCTTCTTCGTTTACACCTTCAGTTAGAGACAATAATTCCATTGTAGACAGGAAAAATCAGATCTCTCTGCCAAACAATTTGCATCCTAATCTATGAGGGAGGACAATGGCAGAGCGCCCCAGGAAGTGCCATATTGTGATCTCGAAGGCATTCCACCAATTTTCTTCAAAACTTACACACAAGAATTGGATTCAATCCTTTGCAAACTGTTCTCACTCTCTTACACCTGAGGGGTTTTCCCGTGTATCTGGGAATGTGCCAGAGTGCAGCTTATCCCGAAAAAGAGCAGAAAAACTCTTCCTAGCAATTATCGTCCCATCTCACTTACATCCGTACTTTCGAAAGTAATGGAAAAGGCATTCCTGAAACTGGTTAAATACCTCAAAGGCAATAAGTTCATCTCTTACAAATAGTCTGGGTTTCGTTCTAGAAGATCAACAACTCTCTCTTTCCTTAATAAGATCTGTCAAAATGTTGGGTATGGATGGGTAATGATTACCTGGCAAAATAGTTAACTTTGTGGAAGATCTTTCGATAAATCTTCACATTTACTCTATGACCTGACTAAAATTATCATTATGGAAATTATTTTATTTTATTGATTAATGAAAACATTTTCTGTAGACAGTACATATTTTTTTTCTAATGCATTTGATAGAACTATGCATTCTTAAATATTCACCCATGACTAGATTAACGATAACACAAGCATTGGGACAAAAGGCACGCCTCTAGCATAAACACAAGTCCTATAACTTAACCACTGTCTAGCAATATGATGGCAGGACACCCAGTTTTAGTAGAAAAGTAAATTCGTGCCGCACAGATTAAATCACACTTTCACATCTGGAGTAAATTAATCTAGGGTACAAGTAAAAAACGCAAAACCAGCCGTTATTCTTCTAAGAAAAAGCTTTTGAGACGACATACAAACGACAGACCACACATGCCTTGCAAGACAGCTTTTTTTGCAAGCAAGCCTTCATGTTTTACCTGAAGTTTGTTACTTGATGTTCTAACAGAACCCGCAATCTTTCCTTGACATCTTGGAATTTTTCTTTTTCTTCGTGGGTGACGCTACCGACTCCATCTGGTCTAGAGTCAATACTAGAGTTACCGATTAATATGGGTAGATAAGCTAGAGGAGTTCTAAGGTAGAATTTTGGTTATTTTTACATAAAAAAAAAATTGGTTCAAAAAGTGCCATTCATGAGGGGTCGAGAGTTTGCAGATCCAGAGGTGGAAACTTTTTATGAGCAAAAACCTTGTAAGATTAACCAAAGATTGTCTCAGAACTCTTTTAGCTTATCTAATAAATTGTAGACACAGTGATTCAAGTTTCTTAAATGATTAGAAGAAAAAATATTTCTATTTAAAATTAGAAGCTCAACTGTTAGTTTTTTTTTTTTTTTTGTTAACATGAACTTGGTATTGCCCGAGGTATTGCCCATTTGTACTCTAGTTCTAGCAATTTCTATTAGCTCTATTCTTACAAGTTTTCAATTCAAAGCGATTTACGAAAATCGGTTTAAAGGTGAAAAAAAAACGGCAGAATTGGCTCAAATTTGGAATAAGCATTCTTTGATCGATTATCTAAAAGATTCATGAAGTTATTTTTCTCAATTATTAGCGTGTTTATTTTTATTTTTAGGCAATAATCCATAGCACGACGTTTTTCAAAAGATAGGCAACCAAAGAAACAGCGGAGGCTGTTGTCCCCTTAATTTCCTGTGCAATTTCGGAAAATGTACCTGGGCATAGGTAGGTACATTGTAACTAATTTTTCATTGAGATCTTTTTTTTTAAATTTTGCAAATGTAGCTAGTATGTACGAGCTACTGTTCACAAGTATTTTTGTGCTATCCATATCTGTTGCTAAATCAGATTGAATCATTGTGCCTTCAAGTGACTCAACTATTATCGTTTATTGAATTCGTACCTATTTCCATGCACGTGGCTCGCGCAGAAAGCAAAACTGTAATGAATTAAAGTTGGGTCAATCATATGATTTTTGTCAGCTCTATCCAGTAGATCTGACAAATAAGTCAAATGTCTGTAACAGCCTCGGACACCATATCTTGCGCAGTATTCATCCAGCACAAATACTTGCCCAGGGCTAAACCAACCCTAAAATTGAAGCACAATTTAAATTTCAATATTTGCGTGATGTTTTTTCAGATCTCACCAAAGAACAATACATATCTGCTAGCCTGTAATCTAATGTTAAGTTTTGCAGGGTCTTGAAAAGGGTTGAATGATCGAATTGACATGGATCTGCTGAAATAAAATCTTCCATCCCATGTTTTCGAGCTCTGTCAGCATCTAAAACAAAATATTCAATTTAGATATATAAATATAATTGTGTGAAGAATTCTTGGATTACCGCCTTGTATTTTAGAAATAGTCGAATTTTTATCCTGTAAAGTTAAAGGAGGGGTGGGTTTGTGAGATTGTCCAGTAGCTCGATACATAGCCATTACCCATAAATGGCACTCATTTTCGTCATCGCTAGCATATACAATACTATCTCCTTCTTTTACTGCGTTAAAAAAGAACCTACCACCTTCCAAGTCTGGAAATAAGTTGTGATATTTACAGAGACAATCGGCAGCTAACTGTCATAATGGAGGTAACTTACGCTTACCCGTTCCGACCATCAAAGTTGCTTAAAAAATATTACAATTAGTTAAGTTTGTTATATTTTTAACATTTTCATCAGATTACGTCGAGATGCTTATAAGTATGAAAAATATTTAGATGGACTCAAGAAAATGGCATTGTGTTTTGTTTTAAAATAGACATCCTCTAAATGTAGCTTTTGAAATTTTCTAAACCCGGGTCTTGGGTTCTACATTTTTGCACCCTCAGGGGCATAGCCAGTAGGGGAGCAGGGAGGGCGACGCCCCCCCCCCCACAGGTATGGCGCCCCTACAGCTCTTGAAAAACAAAAGCAAAAAAATAAGAAATTATAAAATTATGCTGTTTCTTATTTATTTTATTGACCTCTTCACCCTTTATTCTTTATCGTAAGTCGGCATTGTCGACAAATGGTTCAGTTCAACCAAAGGAAAGGTGATAGTTTTTGTTTTGATGACTGACGTGGTATTTGTTTATTGGGTTGGGTGGGGCTGTCATCCGTCCGGATTTCCCCGGATGTGTTTCAGTTTTCAAGGCGTCCCCGGAGACGTTCCGGGAGGATTTTTTGAAGTTAACGGCATGTCCACACATTATTTTTTGTAAGGCTTAAAATACATAAATGTTTTTCGGCCTGGTACCTGAAAATTTACTTGTTATCCTCCACCCCCCCCCCCCCCCCCCCCCAAAGAATTATGCGCCCCTTATATGTTTGCCCTCTCCGCCCCGCAAGGCTGGCTACGCCACTGTGCACCCTATAGCGATTTTTAGCGTAATATAATTATGCAAGCTAAAAATTTTGATCAAAAGTATTTAGGTAAGGGAATTTATTCAAAAACATGAATTATTTGCTCGGCAAATATTTTTCCACTTTGCTAATTAAATTAAAGTTTAAGATCCTTATTTGCCTGCTAATGAAGCTATAAAGCTGTTAAAATGGGAGAAAATGTGAAGAAGCTGGAACTAAAAACGATAAAAACGGAATTTTTTGATGAGATATTCTACGTTTAAGCAACTTGACGTAATCTGGTATAGCTCAATAACTGAAATAAGCCGTTTTAAAATTCAATTCTGCATGGTTTTATTTGATTTGGAATATCTCGTATAATTTTAAAACAACTCAAAACCAGTTTCGAACTAATATTTGACACAAATTACCGCTTGATGCTTCAATATAGTCCACAGTATATCCGTCCAGTTGCATCATTTCCGAAGGTTCCGATTTTTTCTCTTTGTAGCTGCACATGGCGAACGTATACTGGGATACTTGAACCAGGACGTAGTAGCGCTTCTTCCATTTCTTCCAAACGCTCTTTCCTAATGCATAAAGGTATCCGCAATGCTTCATGTTCAAAGGTTTGTCCATTCTACAGGCTACCTTTATGCGCAAGTCTTGATCAGGAAGATTTTTTGGTACTGTCATTTTATGCCATTCTGGTGCCTGTGAGATTTTTATTATAAATAAAAAATTTTTTGCTCAAATTAATTTGTTCAGGATATAAATGTCTTCTTTTTGATTGGAAATATTTTTTCTTGGTCGATAATTTCAGAAATTAAATTGTACCTGAACTTTTGGTCAATAGGTGAACAAGTCAAATAGTGAATAATTTTGTTTTTTACAAGTCGGTTATAAAACTATTTGAAATAATGTTATACTTGCCTTTGATGATAGTGGCGTCGGCTTCAATATAACTTTTCCCAATTCTTTATCTTCCAAAGCAAGCATACCAGGATTTTCCGTAAAAAGTTTAACTTTAACCACCGGTAAGGGGTGTGTTGTGCAAAAATCGCCTTGAGTATCCCACATGGGTTTTGAAGCTTCGGCTTGATCGGTTTGTAATTTTTCACCATTTTCTACTTCCATTGTACAATAGACTATTCTGTTTGGTTGTAATGATTTTAACCCCCTTACTTCCATCACAATAACCTTAAAGAATGGTTAAAAGTCCCAACAGAACATTTGTATATATATTTACAATTTATTTCTACGGACCTATAAAATAGGACTGTTACTAAATGTTGCAAAATTTTACTCGGGAATCATCATCATCATCATCCTGTATACATAATTTAAACATAAAGTAAGTTAAAAAATGATAAGTTTGTGATATCATTTATCGCTTAAGTGTATTGTGTAGCTAAGTGTTTTTGTAAAGAATTCCTTAATAATATAACGTTTTATTAGGAGTTGGAATATGCGATCCATTGCCATTATAGTGAAAAGTCTTAATAATCCATGTATTTTTGGCACGTCTGATTTTTTTTTTTTATTTGTTTTACGCGAAAACTTTTCGTTCACCATGGCCATACATTCTTATCTTAGTTTTTCATAAACTATCATTTGACACCAACTTTAAATTTACTCCTTGATAAAAAATTCTGGGAAAAATTCATCTCCGGTTAAATTCAAAGTTGGTATCAAAGGATAACTTATGGAAAGCTACAGACAAGATATGAATGTGAAATTGGTTTTGCTGTATAAAATTAACCGTTTAGGTTTTACAGCCTGGGCAGTCAAGTTGAAAAAAGTTAATTTCTAACTGTAAATATTTCCAAAACAGTTGAAGATAGGTATATGACATTGTACCCGAAATATGTCTAGAATTTTCCGCAAAATCCGGAAGTGTCATAATATACAGGGGATACCATTTAAAAAAATAAAGTTGACTGAAGATTTGTTCTTGGAACACCCTGTATAAAAAAATTGATGTGAAAAAATCTCAAGCAAAAAACAAAATCGACGTGTTCGAGAATTTTTTCGAAAAGTTCCCCATTTATTTATTATCGAATTAATTCCATTTGGCTGATACACACTGTATATACTTTTTAAATACAGAGTGGTCTTTTTTTAAAAATATTTTTGTAGAGGTAGGTAGGTACCTCATTTTGAAGGTTTAGATTGTTACTTGTAGAATAATATAATATTTTTCTTAGTTAAAACAAAATACCAAGAATAGGAGAACTGTTCGGTAAGTCATCCGATACTGATTAGTGATTACCTATGTATGTTGGTATAGTTTCCTTGTTTGCTTTGTAATCATCAATAACTGACACCACAAATTATTTAAAAACATTTAAATACATACTTTTTCAAAGTTTACTCCATTGCCATTTTGCTGGTATAAGTGAACCACTCTTCTTTAATTTTTACATTTTCAGGAATTCATTGTTGATTGTTTGGAGGTTCATTTTTGAAGTAATATTTTGCATTACTGGGTTATTTCGATTGATAAGACAGAAATAGAAACACATATAAGTTAAAAATGCTGCATGCATTTGCCAACAAAAAGTGGTAAAAATAAATTATCGAATTACTTTTTTTTTTAAATTTATAAAATAAAGGAAGTTACGTAAAATATTTAGATTAAAGGGATGTATTTTAACACGTTAAGCGGCGCGTGCTTACCAGGGGGCATTTCTTTTCTAGATTGAGAGAGGACGTGTTCGATGGGGGGTATTTTAGTTCTCCGAGTAGGAACGCTTAATATAGGTTTTGAATGGGTGAGCGCAATGCCTACTCCCAGAATGTAAACATGCACCGCTTAGGCCGAGCAGATTAAGTAGGTACCTAATTTTATTGTCCGGTGACCACCGGTGGGACACAAAAAAAAGTTCCAATCATTAAAAAAAAAACATAAGGAGTGTTTGTCAAACCGATACAAACGCAAATAGAACAGATTTAGCAAGAAACAGCGAATTTACACAGGTGGTCCTACAATGAAAGAATATATTGTCACCAGCAGTGGTCACTTTGTCCTTACTTGAGAAGACAAAATGCCCACTGATGGTCACGTGGCGCTCAACAGGTTTGTTCTCACAAAAGTCTCAGACAAAAGACAGTTTGCAAACTCTCAGAAAGCATCGTCCATGCATGTTTTCAATGCCGGCATTCCAAGATAAATCGGTAAGTAATTTAGCTGAGTGGTTGTCACTGACAGTTTGGAAACTGCCAGAGAACAGACCTAAGATGTTAATCACCCAATAAAAAAAATGACTTGGGGCTTCAGGGAGGAGTTTTGTAATAATTGAACCAAAGACACCGTTTCTATTTGAGGGAAAGAAAATTAATATAACGCATACCATTTTGAGCAAAGCTCAAAAACAGCATCTTTGTTAGGAAATTGTTATCCTAGACGATGAAGGCAATCCTCTTATAGCGAATTAAGAAAATTACATCATTTTAAATAGGTAGGTACTTATTCTGGCAAATGTTCTGTTAGTGTAGAATTAAATATTATTTAGTTTAGTTTTCATAGTTGTAACTTTTGTTGACTCACCATATAGAACCAAAGAAATACCTACTTTAATTGAGATTTTTGTTCAAACATACAAATGACTATCTATAATATTGTCGCGAAAATCTAGCGGAAGCGCCAGGGTGTACAGAATTGGACAGCTGATTCTAGATTTTACAGTGCTATTCGGGAAGAAGGGCTATCGCGTTTATTCTGGATTTTACAAGACTAGATTACGGATAAATATAAAGGCTGGTATAAGTAGTTTTGAGTTTAAGATTGGCTGTTATATGATTCAAATAGTGATTATTGCAAGAGTTATAAAGAGTTAAGTTGTTTGAATTATTTAGTGAAGTAATTAGTGTCAGAGTGTATAGTAACGTGGAATAAATTATTGTTGCGTTAATTGGACTTTGATTTTTGAATAAACGGAGTCAAGATTTCTGTCACGCACCCCAGAGCCGGGGCAATATTTTTAATTAGATACCTACTTACATTAATGAAGCTTTTTTTAAAAACATTTTTCTGCTCCTTTGTATTTAACATTGGTAAAGCGCAATTGAAGTATTTTGAAATGCATTATATTGGAAGCAAATCCGGTAAAAGAAAGTAGGTATTTCAAATACTTATAGGGTAAAAAACGCATAGGTAATAAATGTTTCATGCTTAGAAAGCTTAAAAAAAAAACAGGAAAAATGGAAGGTTATTAGAAAGCAAGTATAGCGAGAGTTTATCAATCGAAATAACCAAATTCATTGAAAGCTCACGCTCTTACCTCCAGTTGGAATGTAAGTACAACGTCCATTTTGGTAAGTGTAGTATCACTGTCAGCTGAATCTCCATCCAGTTTCGCTAAAGATCCTTGCGATCTAAAAGAAGTAACATAGTTCATCAAAAGGTGCTTCACATTATATGGATTATTATGGTTATGCAACCTGTGATTATAGCGTTTTAGTTTTTGCAACCCATATTTTGAATCCATGGATCCTTTCGATACTGGTAGAGACTCCAAATTTGTCATCAATAAATTTATAGCTGATTTTAGTTCTTCGATGTATAAAGATTCCATTTCTTTTAGTACAAATTTTGGTAACAGCTTACGGTTCTTGAAAAAGAAAATGAGATTCGAATCCAAAAATTTCGTAAACGTAAAGGATGAAAGGAGAAATTATGAATTTATTTTGAACACACCTTTTCCATTTCTGAGACTTTCTGCATTCTTCCATCAAGTTCTCTTCTAATGGCTGCAGCTTGTTCATCTGCTGAATCAAGCTCGAATCAAATAATTTAATTAGTTTGAGAATACACACCACAAAAAATTGAATAAACTTGCTGTTGACTTACAACAAACCAAAGCAAGTAGGTACTTACCATTAGCGCATTATAGAGAAGTTGATGCTCAAATTTCTTAACACCTAATATTTGTTGAAACATATCATATAGCTGTTCTTTCGATAGAATTAATTCGGAATTGATTGCTTGTGTCCTAGGCCTTTTATTTTCATCGTCTTGCACTAGATGCAGAATTCAACCTTTGACAAATCTTATTCTAATAAAACTAATAATAAACACAAACCTTTTAAAATGCAATCGAACTTTGCCATCCAGGATGTAAATACTGTTTCCTTACTTAGTCCTTCCATTTCAGGTAGTGATCTGAAAGGCAAGTAATAATTATTATTAGGAGCTGTAGATACATTTAACATCCAGTTCCACTAAAGGTGTTGCCAGCATATTTTTTTTCCTAAATTTAAATCACTGTTCTCATGGCTTGGATTTGTTACCTACATATGTTTCTCATTTATATTCATAACTTCTTGTGTATCTACCCATCTCTTTTAAATATAATCAGGTAATAAGAGTAGCCTAGGTACCTACGAGCCTTATATTGACGAAAAAAAAAATTACCATAAAATTTTGCATAATAACTAGTATTTGAGGTAAAAATGTTTTTCAAAAAATGTGGGTAGGTACTGACGATTTCCACTTACTTCATACAGGCGATAAAAAAATGAGTGAAAAAAATATAGGTAGCTTCAAATTTATTTATCAAATTGCATGCCCTAAGTGCAAGCACTACTGAATCACCGAATTCAAAGAATAATCCAGTAAAAACTCTAGACTTACCTAACACGCTTTTCGATATTACTTCTAAAAACTTCTCGGAAGTCATATTGGGTCCAGGCACCTAATTGAACCATTTTCCCAACCCTTTCGGATTTTAAAAATACGTCGTAATAATTTTGCACAGCGTTTTGGAAAGCTTCGTCGGCCATTATTTGGGTTTCGCCCTTAAGAAAGCTCTGCAAACAAAATTACAAAATTTGAATAACGTATGTAGGATATAAGCATGGGCATACAAATTACTACCAAATTTATGTTAAGTACATATGCATGCCCTAAATAATATTTTACTTGATACATTATGTAATAAAAATGTAAATAAATAAAATAAATATAATATAAAGTGAAATGAAATAGAAGAAAACCATACTCGGGATCTAGTGATCGCCTTAACCAGGTCAAATGAACCCGTTTTCCTCTGTGATTACTCCTATAATCAAATCATTTTGGTTTGATGAGCATGTTGGTTTAACCTATTGTTGTTCAACCCTTGTTCTTCAAGGTCTCAAAATTTAGCACAACGAAAATGGCACACATCAGAAAAACTAGACTACCAAATTCGGGCCTATTTAGTACCTCATATTTAGTGCTAATTTAGTACATTTATGGTACGCCTAAAATAGTTATTTATGCAACAAGTGTGTAAAGTGAACATTTTTTTCTACTACCACTCAAATATGTGTAAAAATTGAATTTAGACAAATACTTCACGCACTAGTGTGTAAAGAATTTTTACTTCACACACTAGTGCGTGAAGTAATTTACCAGAAAAATGCCAAATTGACAGTGTCAACATCTGTCATTGACATTACTTTACGCACTAGTGCGTGAAGTGAAATTTTACGTCTTCTGAATAGTGCGTAAAGAGAATACTTTACGCACGGTAGTAGAAAAATGTATTTATTACGAAATAACCACGAAAAAGTGCTAGCTTAAGACTTGAATAAGCACACATACATCGAATCGAACGCGCGAGAACGGAATTCATATGCGCATATTTAGTGCTAATTTGGTACTTAAAAAACGACGACCCGAAACGAATTAGTATCACATTAGCACAGAACTAACTCAAACTAACCAAAACTAACCCAAACTAACCAAAACTAACCCAAACTAACCAAAACTAACCCAAACTAACCAAAACTAACACAAACTAACGTTCAAAATTAGCACTAAATGTGTACTAACTTAGTACTCTAGTTTCATCGCGTCATCGGTGATAATGTTCGTTAACTTAAACACTAAGCCAGCACACAAGTGCTAGCTCTGTGCTCATGTGATACTAATTCGTTTCTGGTCGTCGTTTTTTAAGTACCAAATTAGCACTAAATATGTGCATGCGAATTCCGTTCTCGCGCGGTCGATTCGATGTATGTGTGCTAATTCAAGTCTTAAGTTAGCATTTTTCCGTGGTTAGGGGAGAGTCGGGTATTGGTGCGCACCTAAGCCACTCACCATATTTCGGAAAATTTAAAAGGTCAGGAAATTGTTGCTAAAGAAAACAGGAATATGCTTTCCTAGCCATTTGCAAATTAGGATTAAATTTATGATTCAAGTCATTTGCTTCTGCAAATGAAAACGCTAATTTTCTAAACTAGACTATAGAGAGACCATGAAAAATTTTAGCTAGCTTGAGAACATGATCTTTCAATTCCTTTTCTTGGTTTGGGGAAAAGACGCAGTATTCACCAAGATGAGGTTCCGCAATACTAGCGCTATTATCAAATTCCCTTTTTCTTTTTCTTATTGAAGATTCCGGAATATTAAATCTTCTCCCAGCTGCTCGAATTGACCCTCCTCCCTGAATAAAGGTAATTGCGTTTCTCATTGAATCTGTGTCCCATGACGCCTTTGTGGTTTTGCGTGTATACATATTTGGACATCTATATATATAAAACACAGTTGTGTTTTGTGGAAGCACTTATAACTCGAGAACGGCTGGACTGATTTTTATGATTTTTGCTTTATTGGATTTGTCTTTGTCTATCCTAACATAATAAATCGAAAAAATCCAAAACAAAAAATTAGCTTTTTTACTTATTTATGAAAAAAAATTAATAAGCCCGCATACGGCGCCATCTCTTATAACCGATACCAAGTTTACCGTCACATTTTCATTGCAAACCATGTGGATTTTATTGTCACACACTTTGCACAAAAATAATTTAAGGAAAGCGCTTTACTTTCAATTGTTCTTCACAATAAAAATGTCCAAAAATAAATAGAATTACAATGTTTTAATTGTGTATTTTATTTTGTTGTTGGTCCATTCCGAAAAAGCGCGAACTGGTCTTCCTGTCATTTCTTGACGCTTGACCATTGACGTTCTCCTCTCAGGCATCCCTTGACAGCCGTGTTCCGTGCCGACTGTTCGGAGTGCTCCGTCCGGCTGATGTCGAGTGGCAGAGAGCCAGGTTATGAGTCCGCCACAACCATTTTGTATACGGCGCCATATATGATACCTAGAACGAAGCTCACCGATGCGCGGTAATTTCATTGCAGATGCAGTAGAACCATGCTGCTCAGGAACTGGAGATATTTAGAACAGAACTATTCCACTATTCTGATCAGATAGAGTGGTGCAGAAAGAGTAGATCAGATAGAATAGTGCAGATAGAGTAGAACAGATGGAGTAGTGCAGTGCAGATAGAGTGATACAGGGCTGCGCTGTAGATTTTTTTCTGTTTTCTTTACATTCTTTGAACATTCCTGTGCCTGAGTTTATTTATTTGGTGGTACACTTTACAAGAAAAATGCCCACAAGCTGCCTTGAAAGGGATGATGTAAAATTTTAAATTTAGGTGACTTCTGATCTAGAGAGTAAACATTAATATTCTTCAATTTAATTCAGCTAATAGATACGTTAACACAACATTTAATAGGTATTTAATAATTCAGAGGCGGTACGAAGTTCGCCGGGTCAGGTAGTCTTAAATAAAAATATATTGAAGTTGTGGGTTATGTATAGATATAAATAAAGTCGTCTAATAGTGCGCACGTCTGGTAATGGTGCGCACCTGCGCACCATTAGACGACTTGGCATTTTTATTTATTAGATTAAAAACAAAAGAAAAATTAAACAAATCTTCAGCAAATAAATAAACTAACTTATAAAGAAAAGTACAATGAACAAAACTGTCTAATCAGAATTTATTTATGGCTTAACGTGCAATACTTACAGCTTATTTTCTGGAGCCACAAAACAACACTGAGACAGGCAAATTTGCAGATTCGGCCATATTTAATATACAGCGTTGCCACTTAGTGTTAGTTAATTTTATGCGTTTACCACATGATAAATAGATGGCGCGGGAATGGTTTTCATCCATATATCTCAAAGGGTTTTTTGTTTATCATGGTGCGCACCATTATCGAACGCGCACCAATATCCAACTCTCCCCTAATTCATAATAAATACATTATTGTTAGTTTTTAAGGCGTGCCATGAATGTACTTAATTAGCACTAAATATGAGGTGCTAGATTTTCAAAGATTCGACCTTATCCAATTAGAGTGTGCCAGCTTAATCTTAAGCTGGCACACATGCACGTAATTTTTTTAAAAATAGAGGTATAATTTATTTTTTTTCGTACTAAATTAGCACTAAATAGACCCGAATTTAGTACTCTAGTTTTTCTGATGTGTGCTATTTTCGTTGTGCTAATTTAAGGAACCATGTTCTTCAAACTATATCTCCACTGAGTCAGTTGATAGATGTATCTTTGCAAGTGTGGAAATTCTATGCCCTGATTATTTTTCAACGACAAATAATTATATAGAGCAAAAGCTTCACAAATATAGACTAGCTTGTTTTAAACAATTTCGAATTTTCTTACCTGGAATCTATTTACAATAGCATCTAACTGATGCCGAGTGACTTTGTGTTGGCGTCTAGTCATGTCCGTGGGCTGTTTTGCGTTAAAGGGATATGCTATACATCGAGATACAAAAACATAAAGCTGTATTCTCCGCTTTCGCTCCTCTTCCTCGCGCTCCTGCTTTTCCTGAATGTCGACCTCAGTTTTTTCTGATGCGACAGACGGAGAAGGACTAGTCGGTCGTGGAAGAGAATTTGCTCTCGAGGAAGACCCGATACTATGGGTTTCCACCTAAGAAAAGAATATATTCTTTTAGAGAAAATGTCAATATTCTTACAATACATACCGAGACGGCACTGCTTGGTGATAAAGATCGCTGCAGGGCAGCAGCATTGTTGGGTATCTCTAGGACCCCGCTACCATCGGATCCGTGAGAATGATAAGGTGATGCTTCCGCCTAGGACAACAAAAATTAATCTCAAAAAATTGATATGTTTCAACAAATGAAACTTGCAATTCATCTATAACCTATTGCAATGTGTAATCATAATCAAAACAAAAGTATTTATGACTTATTTTTGTAATCGGAAGTACTTAATATAAACGGGATTGCCCAAAGGAATCAGAAAGTGTGCGATTTCCAAGGTACCTAATCATAATAACAAAGAATTCACAAGTCTCGTCATGATTGAATTTGCGATTGTGAATAGATGTCACTGCTTCAGTAAAATGCATGTTATCCCTTGCTTTTCTTATAAACTCCAATCAGTTTCTGATAATAACTTTGGAAAACTTGTGATATACTGTCAATGGTTTTAAAGATGAATCTATTAGCTTTTTTGGCGATTTCAACAAGTTGGTTTTCCCATTTGAGTTCTAACGCAATAGTGACTCCAAGATCGTTTCGTTTTTCTACAATGGAAAAAATTGATTTGCCGAGTCTTTATTCTTCGTTGGGATTGTTTGGATCAATAATTTAGTCCGGTATGAGCTGTTCAAAATTGGTTTCCCGTGTGCCTTTTTGGTATGCAAGCAAGCGGTTTTTTTTAAACTAAAATTTGTATCCTAAAGAATTACCAAGTCCAGTCGGAACGCCGGCTTATGTGTCAGAGGCGTACAGTACGGGAAAATAAGATCAAATGATTTTTTGAGCGGTTTTCAAGGCATTTCATTACGCCGTTACAATTTGTTTCACTTTAATTTCATGTTTGACATAAAATATACAAAATCATGATTACTGCTAACATTTTACATAATTTTAGAAATTATATGCGTACGCGCCCATGAGCGGTAGAACATGCGTAGACGAGCATAGCGCGCGACCATGGAACTATGCGAAATCTCGCTGTTTACTGCAAATTATTGTTAAGCAATTGTTAATAAAATATATCATCATTTAAAACAGGCATTTCAACACAACTAAATAGTTTCTGATCAAGAAGGAGCAAGCGACAAAGCTTATATTACATGCTATGCATTTATCAATACAAAATATGTGAATATTATACATATTTTCTCCCGATACTGACGTTTTGGTTTTGGCAACAAGCAAATCCGTTTACGAAAAAAAGGAAACTGGATCTGCGAGCGGCACACAGTTACCTCTCTCGGATGATGGAGTTACCTTGGACGCAAACTTATTTGGAACATCCATCTGAATAAAACAATATCACGAGCTACGGCCGCCACTTGGACATGCCGCAAACCCGTGAGAAAAACATGTGGGATAGACCAAAAATGGTATATTTACCAAACGGTTGTCAGACCCAATCAACTAAGTCTCGTTGGTATGGCCAAAGACTATGCAAATAAATGCACAGGATAGTCTACGTAAAGCACAAAGGATGATCAGTCTGGAACTAACAGGAGGAGTTATGTCAACTTCCCCTTCCGCAGCCTTAGAGGCACTCCTAACGGAAGGAGTCGGTCTGGCAATAACTGGACCAAAGTTTAAACTCTCCTTAGCAAAGGATTTAACACCCACAATATTTCAAGTCTAGGTACTGACTACAAACATCTGTGCCCAAGAGAGCCTTAAAAGAGGCCTTTCAAGAGAGCACATTTACATACTGTCCAGCAGTCAAGCGGCTGTAAAGGCTCTAGGAGCAATCAATTGCATTCGCAGCTAGTATAGCAGGGTAAAAATATCCTTAAGCAACTTGTTGCCAGTTGGCAGGGAGAAACAAATTAACCCTGAAAGCGCTTTTCAAGTCCCAAAGCCTTTTTGTGGACTAATGAAAAGCTTCGTCTCCGAAGAAATCAACAGAGAGGAAAAGGACCGAACGCTAGCTCATTGGAGATCCATTCCGGGCTGAGATAGGCAACGAGGTTCATATCCATCTCAGCAGGGAGATCTGAACCACTTCTTGACAAGGACAAAATATAAATTAGAAATAAGAACAGTCGTTGGTCTGCTCACTGGACACTGCTTGCTGAAATATCACCTAAAAACAATAGGCAAATCAGACAGAGACTCCTGTAGATCTTGGGAACCACCAACAGAAACTACAGAAAATTGAATCAGAAGATTCACGCACAAAATATCTGGAAAGGAAGCAGTGCTTGAGCGGCTGGAACAACATGTAACGACTTCAAAAATGCAATCTACAATTTACAAATACATCCTACAAACTTGGATTCGAAACCTATTTTAACACTGGAATAGGAGAGAACTCAAGAACTATTTCTTTTTCACCATAGGAATAAGTTCCTATAAAAAGGGTAAGAAAAATTTTAGATAGCCTTTTGGAATGCTGTTTTACTGGCTCATGGATTTCTTGGAAATAGATCATCGTTTACCGATCAAAACTTGAGTCTTCCCTGGAGGTCTTGAGTTTAGAATGGACATATGCTTCTATTTGAGAAGTTGGTGATGTCAATTCTAACCGCTCAAGGCTTCCTTAAGGTCTGAGGAAACCTCGCTGAAATAAAAAATAAGGGTCCGTTATTAAAAAAATGAAGTTGATGATAGTGGCCCAAAGACGAGACGTCAGATTTTAAATATGATGGTACCATCTTGTAATAAGAAAAAAGTGACAATGATGAAGTGACACTGCTCTTCAAATAGACTCAGGAAAAAATAAAAATGATTTTGCAAAATTTTGGTTTTTTCCGAATATCTTCAGAAGTATTCGGAATTTAACAAATTTCAAAACGGCATTTCATTGGTCATAAAATTGCACAACTTTGCCATGATTTAACCACTTTTGACCAACCTCGTATCTCTAGACCCAAGCAGCTCAGCGGTTGTGTCTTCGCTTTGCATGCAGTGGGTCTCGGGTTCGAATCCCGGCTAGGTGCATGGATGTTTGTTTGATTTGGTTTGTGTGTGATGTTCGAGGCTTTGTCGACAAACCACAGTGGTGGTTTCTGACAAGAAAGCAGTTAATAGTTTCCGATATCTCAATGCTCACCCTCGAATTTGGGACACCCTGTATACAATACTCTTTTCAAGTCAAGTAAATGAATGTGAATACAATGTATCTATCAATAATAGTCCGGGGGCCGAGGCCCTTTTTTCCAAATCATTATTAACAAGCTAGTTTTTTCAATGCAGCTTCATTTCACCGAGACGCCCAACTTTTTTCTCACGGAAATTGCGAAAACAGATAGCTAACATACTGCGCAGGTGTAAAACATGTCGATTTGGTGATTATGAAAATTTAATTAATAACAGTTAGTTTTCTAGCTAAATGTTGAGATAATTTTATGAATTATTTGAAACAACATTTGTCCGACAAAATAAAGGGTTTGGTCTACGATGTCCCCCCCCTCAAACATGTAGCAATAACGTTGCATAAAAAATGATTAATAACAAGTTGATTTTTTTCAATGAAGGTTGGTAAATATTATTACAATTAAATGGTCACACTGTCCTACAAATAAACAGGTAACTATTTTCAGTCCTACACTCAAAAGTTGTCGATTTCACGATTTAACTTTTTTTATTAATAACCAGCTAAATCTTCGTGAGCATCTTCATTTTGAAAAGACGCCCAATTTTTTTTTTGCGAAAATTCCAAAAACAGGTAGCTAACAGAGTGCGCAGGTGAAAAACATGTCTATTTGGTGATCATACAAATGTAAATAATAACAGTTAATTTTGTAGCTAAATGCTGAGATAGCTACATAAATAATATGAAACAACATTTGTCCGACAAAATAAATGGTTTGATCTAGGCTGTCCCCCTTCTCAAACATGTAGCAGATACGTTACATAAAAAATGATTAATAACCAGTTGATTTTTTTAATGTAGCTTAGTAAATATTTATTTTAAAAAAAGTCATAAAAAATTAGTTCCTTAAAATAAAAACAATATTTTTCAATAACCATATTTGTTCGAAGCTCCAAATAAAGAAAATAAAATAAGAATAATTGTCTGTATTATGTTCATTATACATTGCGCAATTTTGAGACCATTGAGATATCCGGAAAAAACCGAAATTCGCCCAAAATGATTTCATTTTTTCCTCACCCTCTTTGAACAGATATTTCAAAATAAATGGAACTCCATTGTCAAAATCAATGACGTATTGCACTTATTCGAAAAAATTATAGTATTGGCACTTTCCATAAGAACTAAATGTGTTAGAGAGAGACAGAGAAGAAATTTTAATAGGAAATTACTGAAAGGTAAAAAAAATATTTTTTCTGTGACGGAAAAAAAGTAGACTTTTTGTACCTGTTGACAGGGGCAAAAATGTCACTTTTCCTCCCATGGGAAAAAAGAGATTTTTTTTTCCCACGGGAAAAAAGTAACAGGTACTAGTCAATTTTTTTCCCGAGGGAAAAAAGTAACAGGTACCAGTCAAATTTTTTTCTCAAAGTATAGATGGAAAATGCTCAGATTTTCCCATCACAGAAAAAAATAGTGTATTAGACATAGGAAAAAAGTAAGATTTTAGCGCTCGCTGTGTTGTCTCCCTCCGCTTTGCGTCGGGAGACCTCGCGCTAAAATCTAGTACTTTTTTCCCTTGTATAATAAATAACTATTTTTCGAATAAATGCGATACGTCATAGGTTTTTGGACATCAGAAGCTCTCAAAATCTGTAATAAAAAATCCAGGGTCGTATTGAAAAAAATAAAGTCGATGAAGGTGGCTCAAAGACGAAACGTCAGATTTTAAATTTGATGGCGGCATCTTGTAGAGGAGGAAAAGTGGCAACAATAAAGTGCCATTTATTTTGAAATAACTCTTCAAATAAGGTCAGGAAAAAACGAAATCATTTTGGGCCAATTTCGGCTTATGCCGGATATCTCCGGTAGTACTCGGAATTTTTAGAACATCAAAGCGCCATTTTAATGAGCACAAAATTACGCAACTTTTTTCTAATTTAAGCAACGTCGTATCTCTTACCGTTTCCCAGATCCCCATACTGGCCTTCCTTATCTTGAACACATTGGATTAATATACAATATTCGATTCAAGTTAGCTTTATAAAATTTCAAGTATACA